AAAAATATAGATAAATATTATCAACACTTATTATGCAAAATATTGAAAAAAATTATATATAAACTAACCAAATCTTCTATAAAATCTTCATTAATATCCTCTGTTATATCAATAATATTATCAGTCAATAAAACTTCATTTTCTTCCATTTCCAATGAAGGATCAAGCTGCTTTTCAAATTCTTCAAGCATTTCTTCTGTATTATAAGGTTGATTCAATACCTATATAAATATATATATATATATATATATATACACATATATATATATATATATATATATATATATATATATATATATATATATATATATATATATATATATATATATATATATATATATATATATATATATATATATATATATATATATATATATATATATATATATATATATATATATATATATATATATATATATATTATACAAAAAGAATATTAAATTTTTTTTTAAGTTTATATGTATGATGGAAAGATTCTGAACAAAAAAAAATAACTTTGATAAGAGAATGGGAACAAAAAACCCTAAAATTTTAGCCCCTTCCCCCCTACCCTAAATGTGATGGTAATGAGTTGAATTATTTATTTTTTCATAAATATAAACTAGTTATGTATTCATCAACAGATTTCAAATTTTATGTTTAAATTATTCAGTGTTCAGTTTTTATGACCATGTAAAGAATACCCCTCCCCCCTCAATTTGAGGGAGCTAAAAACTTTACATGGTCATAAAAACTGAACATATATATATATATATATATATATATATATATATATATATATATATATATATATATATATATATATATATATATATATATATATATATATATATATATATATATATATATATATATATATATATATATATATATATATATATATATATATATATATATATATATATATATATATATATATATATATATACTAAAAAATCATGTGCATAACCACAACCTACTATTAGAATATACAACAAGAATTACTTGTTTTTGTAATTTAAAAAAAATTATAAACTATTAAACACATTTAAAAGAAAATATTGACAAAATATTGTAAACATCTAAGGGAATAGTTATAATATATATGTTTTTAATTCTTTAAAATTAATAATACCTGGTTAAATGTTGGCAATTTTAAAACCTTTAAACTTGTAAAAACTTCTGAAGAACTTAGGGCTTGCTTTACACGCCACTGACGATTCTTCCAAAGTGTTATTAAATGTTTATACTGAATTTCAATTCTAAAAATAATTAATACATACGTATAAAAGGTAAAAAATTATAGAAAGAAGAAATAATAAAATAACAATTTAAAAAATGAAAAAATTAGTAGAAGAAAAACTGATAGGTAAAAAAAGTAAAAAAATTAAAAAAAAACTTGTAGAAAAAAACTCTAAGCTAAGAGAAACAAAAGTGTTTTAAGTAAAAAAATGAATAAGATAAGAATGAGTAGAAATTAAAAATAATAATTTATTTTCATACTTTATGGAGGTGTATTTTAATTATTCAAATTCATTTACAACAAGGCTTCAACCAACCACTATTATTGCAGAAGTTTACAGAAAATAAAGAAAATTAAAAAGCAATATAGCAGTTAACAGTAGACTTAAAAGATTTTATATTGTATGAGTTACATGAAGGGAGCAAATTAATAAAACTAGATGAATTAAAGTTTTATGAGCATTAAGTTTTAAGGAGCATTAAGTTTTACAGTAAAAGGATGCAAATTTGCTGAATGATGAGTCATGCAAGATTTTTGATTAAATGGTTTAGAGAGTAATAAAGAATGTTCTGGAAAACAATTTTGCAAGAGACAGTAAGGTTGTCTTGATTACAAGTTACAATGGGGTTTAAGTAAGAAACAACTTCAGCAACAAAAGCAGAAGTGACTTAAATATCTAATACTGGCTTAACCAGTTTTTTTAGGACGACAGGAAGAGTGTTATCACTACTGAACTAGTTGAAAAACTCTTTGCAAATAGTTCTAACATTTCCATTGAGGAGTTAATATCAGACCTAGTATAAAAGTTGAAAGAGGCAATAAGGTCAGACCTAGTATGAGAGTTGAAATGATAGAATTGTCTTTGTTAATGACATTTTTTTTAAATTTTCTAAAAGTCTAGAATCTAATTTTTGAGATATACAACAATGAGTTATCTGAGAATGGACTTAAACTTTTACTAAAGATCTTAACTTCAGAACTTTTTGCGAAGATTTCTTGCAATGATAAAAAATTGTTCTCTAGAGAGTTATTTTTGTGGAAATGAATTAAAAAAATAATTATGATTAGAAATGGAAGCTACAGATGAAGAAAACCATGGAGTAGAATCAAGCTTGACTTAAAACTGACATAGAATTAATATTAAAACAACTTTAAATTTGTTTTATAAAAACTTTGATAAAACAAATATTTGTTTCATATAATTCATAAACCATTGTGGACGTAACACAAAATCATCAATAACTTTTGCATTTACAACTTTGTCAACAACTATTGCATTTACAACCTTTGTTAACTTATATATAAATTATAATAAAATCAATAATAAATTATAATTATAAAAAAACTATAATTAAAAAAAAAAAGTATCATACCTAGTTGATAACTCTGTAGCTTCAGCATCAGGGGCAGGGATAACAAAACATACTGAAGGAACTTCTGATTCTACACCAGAAGGAGGAGATACCTAATAAATCATAGTTTGAGAAAAAAATATTTATTTATAACTAATTTTATTTATTAAAATGTTGTTAATTTAAATAATCAAAATTTACAAAATAAATATTAATACTTATAGAAAAACATAAAAAGAAAAAAAATATATAAAACTTTTATTCATATAAATTTTATATATATACTGCTGATTTTATTGTTAAAATTCGTCATAAATTTTTAACTATTTAATTTACTAAAATAAAATTTTCAAAAATAATTTTATTAACTACTTTAAGACTGGATTCTAGATCGCCTATGATTTTAGATGGTGAATGATTTTAGTTAGTAAATTATGGATTCCAGATAGTACACAATTTTAGATAGTAAATGATAGATTCTAGATGGTGATTGATTTTAGATAGTGAATGATGGATTCTAGATGGTGAATAATTTTAGATAGTAAATAATGGATTCTAGATAGTGACTAATTTTAGATAGTAAATGATGTATTCTAGATGGTGAATGATTTTAGATAGTAAATGATATATTCAAGATGGTGAATGATTTTAGATGGTAAATGATGGATTCTAGATGGTGAATGATTTTAGATAGTAAATGATGGATTCTAGAGGGTGAATGATTTTAGATAGTAAATGATGGATTCTAAATACAAGTGGTTAAAATAGTTGAACTTGATTTTTAAACATGGGAATTTAAACTGTTCAAAGTTTCTTAATTAGAAATTCTTTGTTTCGATTATGTAAGTTTCCATTTTAGAAGTTTAAATGTTTTAAACATGATTGATTTTAAATCTGAATAAATAAAACAGCTTATGATTACTTAAAAGTAAAAATCAAAAATCATCAATCAACACTTTCTTAAGGTTTGCTGTTAAATTTTTCATTAAATGTGCTATTTTTATTAACTTAACAACTTATATTAGCACAACAACTTTTAGTTTACTAAAAGTTTACTTGTGGTCTTTGGTTGCAAAATAATAATGAAAGATAATTACACTTAACTGTAATTAATTATATAATTAATCAAATAATATACAATTTTATAAATAATCATATAGTTAATTAACTTTTATGTTGTTTTTCGACCTAATTTAGTTCAAAATAAATAATTCTTTAACTTGTTTTATGTAATGTTTTGTATATTATCAAGTAAAATAATATATTAAAACATTTGAAAAGTATATGTTTTAAACAAAATACCTTCCATCGGAATGGATTGCTATTATCAATCAGATCAACACTTTCACCACAACAAATGATATCCTGCAATAATTAATTTAAATTGCTATTTGTTTTTATTCGAATAATTCAATAATTTGCACAAAAATAATTTAAAAATAATGACCTTTTCTTGTTCATAATTGCAAACAGATATAACAGCTTCTGGTGTTTTGTATTTTTGATGTCGTTTTTTTAATGGAACAACTTCTTTGCTCCATTTTCCCAACAAAGAAACCTCACCCTTATGATCAAATAGTTCTCGACGTATTTCCTGTGGAAAAAAAAAATTGGTTTAACTTAACTTGGTTTAACTTAAGTATTACTTGTGTAATTAATGTAACAAGTGTAATTCTTAACAAAAGAATTTTTATAAAACTTTTTTTACAATAGGTCTTCAATTTGAAAATTTTAACAATTTTTATTTATTTTCAGTTAATTTAGTGTTGAAGTCTGAATATCAAAATCTTACTGGGATATCAGTGTAAATTAATAATAATATAAGTTGAAAACTTGGTTCTCTATGCAAACTTAGAAAAGGTTGCAATAATACTCTAAGGAAGCTCTATAAATTACAAATTGAATTTTAAATTAATTTCAAATAAATATGCTTTTAAAAAAGACAAAAATATGACAAAATATTTTTATTTGTAGAGGGTTCCAATTAAATTAAACTGTAAGTGCAAATAACTATAAAATTATCTCTGGTAATAAAAATCAAATTTACAAACTTTTTTTTTATTTTTCTTAAAAAGATGAATAACTTATTAGGTTTGATTTTAAACATCTGTGAGAAAAAGAGAGAAAAGATTTTTTAACAGCTTGTGGAATATTGGAAATTTTTGTATACAAATAATTTAATTTAAAATGCTGCTATAACTAATAATTAAACAAGCATATAACACCTGCTGAAATAAAAATAAATCATTTAGCACATCTGAAAATCTTCCCTGAGTTTCATCTGCATTTCTGCATTTTAAACCTTTAAATATAAATGCAAATTTTTCTTTTGAACCAGAAATAACATTTTGGCTAAACGCTAGATTCCACAATGATTCCTTTGAATAAATAACACGTATTTTTCTACTAGAATTAGTTATTCTAAGAACAGGTTTAAAATTCTTTACAGTCAATCTATCAGGTATTAAGGGTAAGTTTTTCCATCTACTTTTCCAATAGGTTTTTAATAAATATTCGTATAAGGACTGTTCGGCTTGTTTTGCATTAAATTTGTTATGGAAAATGTTTTGTTTCACAAATTTTTTTGACACAAAAGATAATAAAGTTTTCCAAATAAGTTTTGAAAAAACTGTTAGAGTTAAAATTATAACACTTCCAAATGCTAATATTAAAGAAGTCGATATGTACGTAGCGTTAATCCACTCTTCAAAAGACATTCATAACACAAAATGAATATTAACTATATGTATCCAAAAAAAAAAATAGGGTAAACTTTATCAAAATTCCTTTTTAATTCGATCATTGAGGTAATACTACTTAAATCTAAGTAAATAACACAATAATATACATTTTGTGTATCTGTCTGTAGATTTTGTTTTAACGTAATCTAATCCTTTCTTTCAGTATAAACACACTTAACTCCGCGCTTAAAAAAAGGGAATCGCCTTTATTGTTTGTTTGTTTTGTCTGTGAAAACCCCGCCAAGCATCTTGTTGATAACAACTAAAATTTCTTGAGTTGACGTTGAAAATTTTTCTTTATGAAGATAAATTTTTAATATAATATATAATTTAATATAGGTATTAAAAATGTATTATTGTATTATAATATATTGAATATATTATGTAAAATATTTTTTAATTCTTCTCCACTTGATAATTTATTGATTAATTAATTATTGAAACTCATAAAATTAACTCATTAAAATAAAATATGTTTGAAAATATGACGGCATTTGCGTCATTTCTTTATTCACTTTTTCACTTTTATTTATCTTTTTATTTTATTATATATATATATATATATATATATATATATATATATATATATATATATATATATATATATATATATATATATATATATATATATATATATATATATATATATATATATATATATATATATATATATATATATATATATATATATATATATATTGAAAGCATTGTTAAAGTTATCTAAACTATTGGTTCAAATAAGGGTGTTGTTTTTTCACTAAACAAATGAATTGTTCAATAAATCCAAACTTTTTAACTCCTGCAGTTTGAGCGACTCAAATATCGTATGTACTTATTATCGTACGTACGTAAGCTTGTTTGTTTGTTTGTTTTTAATTTTTTAATTTATTATTATTATACATTAACATTTATGCAATTGTAAAACGTTTAAATTTGCACTTACCAATAGTTTTTCAATAAGATGATATAGTGCTTCAACACTTTCAAAATCAACACCGTCAAAAAGATTTTTCAGTTTATTTACACTTTCTACTAACCATTTTTCATACGAATAAGCTTTCTCAAAAAACTAATTAAAAATAGTAACAGAATATTATAAGAATTTGCATAAAAACATTATAAATATATTTTTGAAAATTTTTATGTAAAACAATTTGCAAGTAAAAAATACAAATTTATACCTTAAAATAAAATGATGCATTTTTGTAATGAGTTTGGAAAGCAATTTGTAATTGATATGCCCATTTTAATTGTGTTTGTACAACTCCAACGTACGCCTTAACGCAAAAATGTTGTAAATAATTCAATACTTTTTTTTATTTTATTAAGATTTTTAATGTAATTTCTTTAAATTAAATAATTACTTCTATAGCAGATGTTGCTGGGTGAAGCTCAGCGGTAAGTAAATGACCGTTTTTAATTATTTCTTCAATCATTTGATCTCGTATTATTAATTCTGAACGAAGTTTCTGAAATAAATCTTAAACGTTAAAGAAAAAATTTAAAGCAAAAAAAAAGTCCATACTTCAAAATTTTTAAAATGTTTGCTGCATCTACTTAAAAAAAAAGTTGGAAGCGTATTAAACTATAACACAAATGTAAAAATTTTGTATAATAAATAAGTATGCAAAATAAGTCTAGCATTTTTTTGTAGTCGCAAAATTGTTGTAGTCTAATCAAAAAATATACTGCTTTCCCAGTGGGCATCGGACCTAAAAAAGACGTCTTTTGAACGTTCAAAAGATGTCCAAAACGTTCAAAAGACGTTGAAAAGATGTCCAAAACGTGCATAAGACGTTTAAAAAGACGTCTTTTTTACGTCCGTGCCCACTGGATTACTGCTTGGTTTGTAGATTAATTGAAAAAATCTTGTTATTTACAATTTTTTTATTTAGTAATTCAGTAACAGTCTTCAGTTTTAGTTGTAAAGTGATAAGTCTGCTTTCACTTCACAACTCACAAATTCATTACTTCATATCCCACCCTATATTACTTCACTACCCACGCAATTAGTACAGCATGACCCATCCAATTTTTATATTACAAAAAAAAATCACAAACCATATTTTTAATAGGGTTATTTTATACCTCGTTGTTTTCGGCTAGCATTTCTAAAGACAAATTTTTATCACTCCAATTTCGTGAAACTTCATTATCTTCGTGCTGACTTAACCATATAAGCTGTTCAGTGCAAGCTTGCATAAAGGCAATAAGTGATTTCAGATTCAAAGATCTTTTCATTGTGCATTCCTACGGTAATACATAGAAGAAATATTACTTGAGTTAAGTAATATAAAAGTAGATAAATGCTAAAAGTGAACAAAATTTTTCTTTATTAAATAGTTTACATACCAAAGCTTCGTTGTATATAAGTGTTAACTCTTCTAATTTCATGTTTATTTCCGTTCGGTGATTTGGTGTCTGAATTGAAAATATAAGTAGTTAACAGAATTTTTAACATATTATTGTTTATTTTTAGCTTACAGTTACATTTGTAACTATTCTTATATACAGTGGTGTCATTTGGAGGAGGGTGGGGGGTGCGGTCCGCACCAGGTGATACCAACACGATCTGCTACAAAGTGTGTGTGTGTTTTAAATATCTAGATATAGATATTTAAAATCCCCTCTACTTCCACAAACCTGTGTCGTCGGCCCTGTTAGTGAAAATTTACCTCACTGGGTGACACTAACCCAGCGACCTCACTGTATATAAATATACATATATTTTTTTAAATTTATTTATGTTACCACTTTATTATTATTTCCAATAAGGTTGTTTATGCTTATTAATAGTTATAAATATTATATTTTATATTAGTAAGTATAAATAACAGTGGCGTAGCTAGAGCTAATTTTAATTTTATTTTAAAAAGAGAGCGGCCTCTAAACTTCTGCATACTGAGGGGAGGGCTTTGAAGAAGAGTTTTCCTAAGAAAATGCCAAAAAAAATGTTAATTATATTAGTTGCAAGAATAATACAATTCATAAAAACAAACACATAAACATGTTCGAGTTTTTTCATTTCAATTATTCATTCAAAAAAGTTCCCTTTTTTCAATTTTCCAATAAAATAAATAAACTAACTAGAGGTTTAATGGAGGTAAAAGAGTACCTTTTGGTAAAAGAGTACTCTTTTGCAAATTATTCAATTCTTTTTTAAATCTAAATGTTATTGATGATAATATTAAATGTAACAAACCTCCACAGAGCAAATTTTGTCAATCTCTTCCCTAAACTTTAAAATCTCCTTTAGCTTGATTTCATTTTCTTCTAAATAAGCTTCGTTACTAGGAAGGTCCATTCCGTACTCTGCGTTTTTGATCAAGTCCTTATATAAAACATATTTTGTAAATGCAGAATAATCGTTGTTGTTTAAAATTGTTAGTAATTATTTGTTATTAATTAATAATTAAAGATTTGAAAAGTCAATTATGAAAATAATTCAACTTATATAACTTATAAATGAAAAGTTACCAATATAAATTTCACCCAATTGTAGGCAACCCGAATGTTTTGCAACTTCGCGTTAAATTCCGTTTCGGAGCATCCTTCAATAAATTCCGAGTTTTCGCTCTTTTCTTCATCGCTAGAAGAATGGTTTTGCTTTCTAGTACAACTCCAAGGATTAGGAATTGAAAAAGATTTTAATTTCTTTTGCTTTTTATAAACTTTTGTTATTGGTTGTACTCCTGACCGTTTTGAAATACGAATACCTGTCATTTTTGACGAATCGTTCTTTTCACTTTCGTTTCTTTTACTTCCAGTGGATATTGTTAGTTTTACAACAGGCTGTTTATCGCTAGTTAAACTGATTTCTTTGGTCGAATTAGTTGCTTGTACAACTGTATTTTCCTTGTTTGAAGTTAGGTTTGATTCTGTTGTAAACACTTGCTCGTTATTGGATAGACAAGCACTATCTTCATCAGTAATTATTGGCACTTCTTCTTCTAATAATGGAATTGCTTCATTACAAATATCTTCTTCGATAATAGAAATTATACTCGGAATTGATAATTCCTTTAAAGAAAGTTTTTCATTGGAATTGTTATCCTTTAGGTTATGTTCAGATTTCAAAGTTTGAAGTTCTGTTTGAACTCGATTATTTAGTTTTTCCCATCGTACTGAAATAGCTCCAGCTCTAAAATTGAATCAGAAAGTATTATTAATACTACAAATATTATAAAAATTATATGATTACTGTCCTTTTTTATATAGCGTTACTTACACTGATTTCTTTCTATTTGAATTCAGTGTTTGGAATTGCATATATATTTGTGTGTGTGTGTGTGTGTGTGTGTGTGTGTGTGTGTGTGTGTGTGTGTGTGTCTGTGTGTGTTTGTTACTGTTTGATTAATTGGTCTTATTTATACTTTAGAGTTTCAAAATTAGCGCAACCTTGTTTGAAGCTCTTCGCTATTTTGATATACACTTTTCACAAGTATTTCTGTAGAACTAGTCAATGTTTTAATTGGCAAACGGAATACCTAAAAAGAAATAAATAAAAACTTAAATTTTAAAAATTTTAATTTAAAAATTAAAGTCTAGAAATAAAAAATAAGTTTAAAAAAAAAAAAAGTACACGAATAAGAGTTTCTATTTTTTAATTAGTGCATGAACTGAAAATAAGACGTGATTGAGTTAAAACATTTTGTGTGAATTGTCTAGATGTAACTTAAAAAAATGAAAAATAAAAAAAGATATAAAAGACATATTCTAAAACTTACCTTTATCGCTTTTACATTTTGATCAAGTTTGCGCATATTCTCCTGAACATTTGAATCAATTGAACCTTTATCGTACTAAATACATATTATTATTAGAAACAAAACAAAAAAATGTTTAATGTATTATTAGTAGAACCCTAAAAAGTTATTTTTTCATTAAATAATTTAAAATTAAATATTTTTTATTTAATTAATTCAAAATTAATTGTATTAATTAGTATAATTAGTTTTAAAAACAATATTATTTATAAAAGATTATAATCTGAATACAGTAATATAACTTAGTTAATTTTATTAAAATTAATTTTATAAAATGAATACTAAAATTCGATACATTATCGAGTTCAGTCTCGATTATTCCCAACGAATTCTCCAAAGAAGAACACTAAAAAAAATCAATGAAAATTACTATTAACATATTAACGTTAATGGTGGATTCATTAGAGATTATAAGGGTTTTTATGCTGGGCATTGAGGGTATTCTTAAAAGAATTAGATTTTTTTATTGAAAAAAGAGTTATTATTTATTTTATTTTTTTCTTACTTCTTTTTCTACTTTTTTTGCCACTTGCTGGAGTTGCTCCAACCTAAATTAAAATAATGAAACAGTAAAATTATCTTAAACACATTTTGTTTTTATATTTTAAAACTGTTTTTTGACCTGAAAACAATGTTTATATTCAATTCTGCAGGCCATGGTCGAATACTCATCCCAAATAAAACATGATATTAAACAACAAGTAGTCAAAAAGTTGTAAACGTTTTTTAATAATTATCAACTTTTCGATAAAATTTACAAATCTTATCTAAAAATTTATCAATGATTCAACAATATAAATGTTTTTTTAAAAATCACTTATCGTTTAAAGAGAAAATGTTATTAAAAGTTTCATATATGAGGGGGACTCCTTTACTTATTCAAATATGTATTCGAAGTAAATAGCGCATTTCAAAACAGTTAAATAGTTTGTTTTAAAATTTGACATCTGCCAACTTAAAAAAACAACGAATTAGAACGACTTCAAAACCAAGAAGAAGAAAATCGTATTAAATTGGATACCCTTTAAATAAATTGAATAATTTTTTTCATTAAAAGATTTTATTGAACTTATTTTTTTTTCTTAATTTTTTTATTGAGAAAATAAAGATCTTTAAGATAATATGAAATTATATATATAAATATGGTAACACTTTTATATGAGTGTCTTAAATTGGACTATGAATATGACTAATGAGATATTTGATGTAAAATACACAAATAGGTATGATTAGATATACTAATTAATAGATTAAAATAAACAATTAAAAAATATAAAAACATTAAATTTGCAATTAGTGTGAGCTGGTGTTATCATGATCTTTTTTGTGTATTCAATTTTAGAATAAAACTTTTTTTAGTTTTTTCTCTATCAGTTTTTTTTTAATGGCAAATTCAGTTCTAGAAAAAGAATTTTCTGCAAAATGTTTACCTTAAAAAAACTACATTTTAAGTTCAAGTTTTTAAGTTTGAAATAAAAGAATTTTTACCAACGAATAATTTTTTTAAATAAGTATTAAAACGTTTCATTTAAACTTTTGAAATTTTATTATCTGATGTAGCAAAAAGTTTTGTTCAAAACAGGAAAATATACAAAAAATTTTTGGGATTATTAGGGGAGACCGGGGCTAGTTGGCTCGGTTTTTACTCTATGAGCTCTGTAGCCCTAATAGCACACTTTTTTGAAAATATTAAAGTGTAGTCTCAAAGCGTATGAACTTGGGTAACTTATAAAAGTTTCATAGATTTACAAAAAAAAATTCTTGGGGCCTTACGGGGCCCTCAAAAAAAAAAAAAAAAATGCGCCAACTTACCCCACCACGGGGTAAGTTGACGCAAACTATAAACGTGATTATTAATGTACTATTAAGTGCAAAATTAATAGAAATTTTTTACCTATTAATTTTGGCAACAATTTAAGCTAATAATTTGATATTATTTTTAGCTTGTGCTAAATATTAGTACGTATAACAGCCAAAACAGCAGCCCTCTTTTTACCTGTTACAAAAAACCTAAAAAAAAAATTTTTATAATTTTTTTGTAAGAATAAGTTTTTTCAATATTGTTAAAAATTAAAAAAATTAAAAAAATTATTTTTATAAAAATAAATATTTTTCTCCATAGTAAATGCTATGAGCCAACTTACCCCGTAAAAATTTTGTCAACTTACCCCGAAGGCTTTTTTTTCAATAAACAGTCTATAGATCCTGAAAAACGGCAACTTTTAAAAAAAGTCAAACTGAATATAGTAAACCAATTGTGGCTAGAACTTTTACAATAATTTTTTTTCCATTTGACTAACTATTTTCTTTGTAAAGTAAAAAGGAAGCGATGTTTCAAAAGTTACGTTTTTGTCCAAAAAACACTTAAATCTTAATATCTCCCATGCGCATGCGCGAATCCTGACAATACTACATTGAATGATGAAACAGTCAATTAGGAAGATTCTGTGTAATTTTTATCACTTTCTGATGAAAGGCTTTAAAGATAAACGCAATTCGTCAACTTACCCCTGCGGCCAACTAGCCCCGGTCTCCCCTATACATAAAAAAATTATACATAAAAAATAAAAATAGAATAAAGTTAGCGATCAAATTTGATTTTATCGCAATAAATATATTTCTTAATTTAATATATTTTTTAAAAAAACTTTTTTAAGAAAATTTAACATTGAGATAAAATTTCTAATAAAATAGCAGAAAAAAATAATGAAAATAAAATATTTTGAATAAAAATATATAAAAAAATAATACAAAACCTCTCGATTTCCTTATTAATATCATCACAACGCTGTTGGTTAGCTTGTACCATAGCTTCCCACGCCTATTTTAAATGTAGTATAAGATGTTTGATATTTTAATAACACTATAAATAAATTTTAAAATTCTGCTGTGCTCTGTGCATAAGACCGTAAGGACTTCTGAAAGCACCTTAATAACTACACAAAAAAAAACTATTTTGTTTTTATGTTAACTTATAATTCTACATACTTGATTCATGCATTCTACTGTGAAATTATATGGTACATCTATGCTTCGTTTTTTTGGATTTTTCATAGTCTAGAAGTAATAAAAGTATCGTGAGAAATTGAATTTAAATTTTAGTTTCAATAATTGTTAAAAAATGTTCTACCTTAATATTTGTAAAAAGAGTGGCTAAGTGTCTACGCTCTGCGTTTTTTTCTGGGTAGATTTGTGTTGAGAAAAAACCCGCCTGGCTACGTAGATCCTAAATATTTGAAATAAATAGCAAGATTTTTTTTCGCAAAAGAAAATTTTTTTATTTGTCACAAAAAACAAATTTTAATTTGAGAAAGAGAAATTAGGAATATTTACTTGCATTCCTTGTAAATGTTTTGGGAAGTCTCTACTATTCAGGCTGATTGTACAACGACTCAACCATTCAATGAACATTGAAACTCTGTTACAATACACCTCAATTGTTGTTTTCAAATCCTTTAAAAATTTATTATTTGAGAAAGAAATTATTTTAAATTTTTTTACAAAACATAGAGGACTAAATGTATAAAATCTCTTACCGCATCAATTTGGTCTAATAACCTTGGAGGCATTGAAGGCAGCACTTTGTGAATAGCCGAAACATAAGTTATTATAGTTTTATCATCCGGACATTTTATAACATCTAAAATAACGTAGCATTAATTTTTTTTATATCTTTATAGTATTATAGCTCAAAAAAAAGTTTATTTACCTTCAACATCAAGTAACTTAGGTATTCCAAGTTCCTTTTCTGCAATTTGAAAAATAATTTCCATTCTTTGTGGCGGACTTGCATTCTTAATCTCTGCATAATCGATAAGGTCAGGTCTATATTTAAAAGAAAAATCATTTTATATATTTTTGTAATAAATTTAATCTAAAAGATATGGTAAATACCGTCTAATTGGGCTATTTTTGCGCCGGGCCTACGTCTTTTTTATTATAAAAGAACTTTTATAGCATAATTACCTGTGTCTATGTAAAAGAGCGCCAAAAGCTAATCCATCTGACCAACTTGAAGAAAAATTCTTTATATCTACGTCTTCATAGCTAAATTATAAAAAGAATCATAAATTATTGCAGCAAGTATTTTTAGTGTTGTCAACTATCATCTAGATGCTTTTGAAAAAATCAAGAATAAAATTAGCGTTTATAAAGGTAAGATAAAGGTTTTAACTTTAAAATAAATTTTTTATTGGCGTTGGTTTATTTACCTTTTTGAAAGAAGGTAAAATAACTACTGTAACTAGCTTAAAATCATAAATAAAAGTAAATATTTTTTTACCCTTCACAGTTTGTTTGACTCCAAAACAAAAGCTTCTGCTTCGGCGATTCTGTTTCAAGTTTCATTGTTTTAATATCTGATAACTAAAAATTATTATTATGTAACTAAAAATGTAAGGAAGGTTATGGTGTATGTTAAGAGGTGCATTTTCATTGAAAATAACAAAGTAGTTCTCTTACAGTTATATATAAATATAATTTTAAACCTGAAAATTTAAAATAAGTATCCAAACAAGCCCAAGAGTAAGCTTGGTATTTCCATCAACAATATCTTCACTTCGGATGTTTACAAGTTTAATCTAAACCATAAAATTTCTATGTTATATTGGTTTTTTTAACACGCAGACACAGCATAACTTAAATAAGAACAACCAAACAAATTTTTGCGATAAGAGCACTTACGCCTATATAATTCAAGTAACCAAGGGCTGTGGTTACATTCTGCAAACAATAGAAACGCATAGTTCCTTTTTGCATCCTCTAAAAGAAAAGGTCAAGTTTTAAATCAAGGTTTAACATTGCTTCTTCATGTAATTGTGGGTTCCAACTCCCAACTCAACTCCAACTGCATTTTCTGTAGTGTATGTTAATTATCAAAAGGTTAGCATAAAAAACTTTATTAGGCATATTTTTAAAGAAAACACGAGAACTTACAAGACTTTCGTTGGTGAGTAGTTCCACCAAAAGTATAAGATTTCTTCCATCACGAAAGTCTTCGTATAAATCTTTTATTTCTACATTAATCTAAAAACCAAAAAAAATAAAAACACATCTTTTCACTTACCGAGTGTGTTTGTGTAATGCAACGCATAACTGTAAAAAGCAGACCAAACAAGTATGTTTATACAGTGCAATTTTTTTTTAGATAAAACTAGATATGTTGAAAATAAAGTTAGAATAATTAAAGAAAAAATAATACAAAACCTTTTTTAACAGTTTATAAAATCAGCATTATTTCTTGAGTCTTATTTTACTTATTGCCAAGAATATGATTAAAAAAGAGGAGAATGTTTTACCTTAACTAGATGGGTATTGCACCATTTTGTAAAAACTTTTTTCTGTACCACAGCTCTCTCTTCTACAATAAAGTAAAATGTGTTTTAAAAGTAATGTTTTGTTATTAACCTGATTAAAAAAATGTTCGTTTTACAAATATGTATTTATTTAAAAATAATATTTATAAAAAAAAATTAACTTTTTAAATTCAGTTAAATAATGGGTGGTTACTGATCTTCAAATACGTCTATAGAGGATTTCTAAGAGACACGTTACCTTTTAGAGTGCACTAACTTTATACTTTTTTTCTCACATTTATTAAATTTAAAAACCGTAGTAAAGAAAAGCCTTTCGTGATTTTTTTTATTTCCTTTTTTATATTTTTAGATTATCATTTTAAATAGTGCACTCACAGCCACACCTAAAACTATTTCTTTTGTAAATTATGATTCTTATGATTTATTGTGCGAGTCAAAAAAGATAGAATGCGTTTTAACCGCAACTGAGCAAGCGGACACTTGCAGTCGCATATTAACACCATAATATAAACTTTTTAAGTTTAAGATTAAGTTTATTAAAAAATAGCACAAGTTGATCAAATAATCTATTCCGTTTTTTACTAGTTTAAATTCTTCTAAAATGAAATTTACTATAGTAAACATAAAACGTTAATGATATTAAAACTAATATATCATATTTCTCGTATATCTTTTTTTGCTCATAATAGTACATACCCTTTAAATCTTGCTGTCTAAGATCCATTTCTAATCCATCTTCTTTGTCTCGCCATTGTAAAGACTTTATTTTATCCATATTACTGGGTATAAAAGTCCGTCAATTGTTATTCAAAATTTTAAATGAAATAAAAAGTTTGATGTTATATAGCTAAGCTTATCTTACATAATTAATATCGAATATAAACGCAATGAATACTTTATCAGCAAGAGTATATTTAATAACAGTGTATTGATATTTTTTTTGTGTAAAACGATACATATATTGGTCATTCGAGCTATATAGCAATATATTTTTTCAATGTCTGTTACGTAACAATATTTGCATATTGTGGAACTCCCAATCTTATAAAATTAAAACTGAAATTAATTGTTATTAACTTTTTCTATTTTTACATTTGTCTTTGTATAAACAAACAACTCTTTTTAATTTAAACATAATTTTGTGATAAATTGGAGGTAAAATAAATACCTAGGCATGGAGCCCTTACTTTTAAAAATATTTTTTGTAATAAAACATTTATACTAAAGTTTACACAAAAATTAAGAAAAATTTTTTTAAATATTTTAAGTTTTGTAGAAAATTTTATTCAGCAATATTAAATTGTGATCGATGATTTGATCAATGATAAATGACAAATAGTTCATTAGTTAGCAGGAAACTTTTAAAAATTAACAATCTTAACAGGAACATTTTAACAATTTTCTGTAATTAACCTTACCTGCATTAAAAGATACATTTCTGTCAGCTAAACAATATTGTTCTGACGGACTTCTTGAGTTTTCCAATCTTGGGGGTAATTTTAAACGTCGTTTCATTTTAAAACTTTTATCTAATCCAATCAAATGAACAAGTTTTTAAAAATGACTCGTAAATATTTAAAGTTTGTAAATATATTATAGATTTTTAAACATTTCAATATAAAAATGTTATTAATATTAAATGAAGTTTTAATAATAATCAAAAATCTTGAACACTTTTTAAAAATTCACACACTTTGTTTCAAAAAAAATTATTAAAAAAACATTAACGTAATTCGCTAACTTGTAATTCGCTTTGATAAACTTTATAAAGTTAATTTGTTAAGGTTTTTCCCAACTTTTTATTCATCTGGATTAGTAGAATGTTTAGCGACAGATAATCAAACGCTTTAAAGAAATAAATATCATTTATAATTAAAGTTTATCCTTGACGTCCAATGAATATTTATGCAAAGCTTCAAAGAAATTTATTTTTATAATATTTTTTAAATATGTTTTTTCTTTGCAAGATAAATAAAACACAAAACTAAAGAGATTTTTATAAATTGACTTTGTTTCAATAATATTTTAACTTAAGACACAACAAGTTGATTTTGTAAAAAATAACAGTGCAAAAGCCGCATTTATGTTATGCTATATTTATGTTATACTATAAAGTATAGAGAGAAAAAAATTTGCTAAGCTGAAACATCAATTCTAAGTTATATAAATGAAAATGTTATATAAAACATTAAAAAAAATTATATAGAACTTGAATTACATATTAAAAAATTAGATATTATAGCATTTAAAAATGTTATCAAGAGCATGAAAATTTTTATGATCGGAACATAAAAAGATTATCATCGGTACATGAAAAAGTTTTAAGTAACTTATAATAAAACAAGTGTTACTAGTTTTCAAAATATTAATAATATTTCTTAGTTGTTTAAACAGATTTTTATATCAAAATAATTTTTGTCAGAAATCTCCTTATTTATAATTATTACTAACCGTTTATACTTAAATTATTAAATGAATTATCAAATGACTTTCAATTATCAGTTTCCTATTTTTTTGTTTTTTGATTTTTTTTTAATTTTTTTTATCGAAGTTTGTTCAACCAACACACTTATTGTTTGGTAAAATGCTATGATAAAAGAAAAAAAATCGAAATTGTTTTTTATTTTCGATTACTCTTCCCCCTCCCTCGTATGTTGGTGTACGTTAGGGTCTGGGGAAAACTACTTTTCTTTGAAAATTTTTCTTGTTACACCCCTGGGTTTCAACTATATAATAAAATAACACTGGATTTAAAAAAAAAAATTATTTTTAGGTGTTCCGACTGTCTGTCTCTTGACTACTTGACACTATTATTATCCAAAAAAAACTTCAAAGGTATATCAACCTCGTACTCAAAAGAAGCGAAACTTTATAAAAATTTTAAAAATAATAATCAATTAATATTATGTTTTTAGATTTTATTTCATAAAAAGTATCGTTTTTTAAACAAGTTTTTTTTAAAAAAAACATGTTTTTATAAAATAAAATTACTAATTTTATAAAAATTCGCTTTTTTTGAGAACCAGGTTTACATTTTTTTTTTCTTATAATATTACGGACTCGTTAAATATTCAAGGGTCAGTCTTATAAATTTATAAAATTTTATAAATCCTATGTTAGGGGCTGTCCATTAATTACGTCAACATATAGAGGGGGGAGAGGTTTAATTTTTTTGACTACTGTTAAAATGGGGAAAGGGGCAGGTCAAGAAAGCAGTCAAGAAAAAGTAACATTGTTGACGTCAACAATGTTAATTTTTTTATCAATTTAATTATTTAAAAAACGGAAAATTAAGCAGCTCTTGCAGTCCTACTCGCTTAACCTTCAGTATTTTAATAAAGTTGTTTATATTTCTACTTTTAAAAACCGTGTTGTGCTTTAAAAAGACCCGACACATACAGAACTAAATAAGCACACACAAGATGTTTACTCGTAACACTATTATTTTTTCAAAGGTGTTGTTGGTTAGTCTGCTGTGCAAACAAAAAAGATTCATGTAAGTACATAGTCTACATTATTTAAACGTTTATATAAGGGTACAACCTGCGACTCGCAAGCCTCATGTGGTTGTTTCTATGTCAAGATGCGGCTCTTTAGCTCCATGCACAAATGTCAATGTTTATATTGAAAAAAAAGATGTTGGAATCTCTTTAAAAACTGAAAAAAATTTTAAATTATAACTTTTGGCTTTTTTGTCTTAAAAGTTTGCCGACCATGGTTTATGCAATTCGTTAAATGCATTTTTTGTTTTTCTAGACTCTATTTAAAAAAATAAGCTTTTACTATGAAATTGGATTGGTTCTAATGTTAAAGTGAGGAGGATTGGCACATTGAAGTGTTGTATTAATTTGAAATATGTTCATAATTTAAACATATAAGGTGTATACATTTTTGTGAACCCTTTAATCATTTTTTTGTTCAGAGTAATTCGTTGTAGTTATAAACTTACGGGTGCGTCGTTTGAAAGTCCGCTATATGATTAAATAATATTTATGATATGTTATGAAATATGATATGAATAAATATGATATTTACATTACGTGCTTGAAAGTTTTACAAACAGGGATTAGTCTGTTTTGATGGAGAAATATATTAGCCTTTCTTCTTTAATGCTTTCAATAAATTCAGCTAGGTGAGTCATTTTACTTTCAATTGTTTTACTGAAGTGTCTAATTTAACTTTTTAGAAAATGAAAGTTTTCGTTACAAAAATCTTAGTTGCTTACCGAGTATCGGATGCACCGTTTTAAAGTCCGCCATAAACTGGAAATATGTTCATAAATTAAAAGTTTAATAAACTTTTTTTCTTATTTTCTATACTATATGTAACTTTTACTTTTATTCAGTTTTTGTTCAGAGCATTTGTAATTTTAATGGTTGTTCAGAGCAAGCATTTGTAATTTTAATGGTTGTACAGAGCAAGCATTTGTAATTTTAAAGGTTACATTGATATGTTCATAAGTTAAATTGTGGTCAATTTTTTTTTTTAATCCAAAAAACTTTACTTTTAATCACTTTTGTATTTTAGTTGTCTATTTAAAATGGTGTTTTGTTTTTTTTACGATTAAATTTGATTTTTAGGGGGTTTGGGGGAATCAAATGTTGACGTAATTTTAGGGAAGGGAGTATCTGGAAGTTTGAAAAGTTGTTGACAAGGAGGAGGGGGAGTTTAAAATATATATATTTATTTATCTTTTTTATTTTTGCCTAAAATTAAATACAAACAGAATAGTAAAAATATAAAACAAGAATAGTAAAACAGAATAGAATGAAATAATCGATGAAATGAAGTAGTTGTGACATTGTTTATCCCGTTGCTCATAATTAATTATAGAATAAAATTTAGCAAATATTTTTTGTTCACTAGAGATTCTTTTATACCTAAAACATCCTACCTAGTGGTACCAATTGAAGTGCAAAATTTTAATTCAGTAAAAAAATTTAAGAGAACATGTTTTTAATGCAAGAACAAATGTAATATATACATATTATATGCATGTTATGTTTTAGTTAAAATGCTAAAGTACACATTAATAAAGAGAGTCCTCGAAATAACCCCCTTTTGCCCGTATGCACGCCTCCAGTCTTGGACGCCATTCCTCGATTGATTTACGCACGGTATCCATGGATAAAGCATCCCATTCTCTGAGAAGTGATCGCTTGAGGGCATCAACGGAAGTGTGAGGTTTGCAGCACACCTTCGCCTCCAGTTTAGACCAGATTGCATAATTCAATGGATTAAGATCTGGTGATGCTGACGGCCAGGCATCCGTGGAGATAAAATCGGGCACATTGGCTGTCAACCACCTCTGTGTTGTCTTCGCTTTGTGCTAAGGGGAACTGTCTTGTTGGAATGACCATTGTTCCCCATTGAACAACGAGTCATTTAAAGGTTTTATCACCTGCTCTAAAATGTCTAAATGAACTATATAAAAAGCACATGCCTGTTAACATGACAAGTTTAAACAAACTTCGCACTTCAATTGGTACTACAGGGTAGAGTAACTCTAGGATGTTTTAGGTATAAACTTGTAAATTTTAAAGACCCTTAGCGCAGTGGTTAGCGCGTATGCCTCAGAAACTAGAGATTCGTGCTTCAACGCCCCCTCTGGGTAAGTTTTATAAAATTGTTTAGGAAGAAGGCGTGAATTTGCTTTTATATGCTTTTCCGCAGTGTTTTGTAATAAAACCGTAAGGACTTTATGTGGCACCTAAAATAAAAACTAAGAAAAAAATTATTATAGGTTGAATATGATTTACGGACAAAGAAAAATTATATATTGATTATGATAACGGAACTATAGTTATAATTAAGTCAACTCTTAAAACATTCCATTACTTAATTTTGTATAGAGGACCTCGTCTATGGAATATAGTTTATGATGAAAATATAAAAAGTATAACCTCAATAAATTGTTTAAATAAAAAAGTTTATTTTTTGTTCCTTAATATAAAAAATTCGTAATTACATAATAAAGATTCGTTAACAGCGAATATATGAATAAAAACAAAATATTGCGAAGTTTCTCAAAAATAAAAAATTCACTCCAACACTGTAAAAAGAAAGCGGAAAACTTGCAGAAGACCAAATAGCTGAATTATCAAGAACCGCTTTACATTTCCGTAAATATAAACACATATTCATAAAATTTTTACATAAAACTATTAGTAATGGTATTTTAGTAATGGTAATTAGTAATGGCATTACGCTATAATGGTATTAAAATGTCAAATGACAAGTCTAGCAGAAAAACCTAAAATATAAAAACATTATGTGTTTTTATATTTTAAGTTTTTTTTAAACTTAAAATATAAAAAAACATACATGTTTTTATATTTTAAGTTTAAAAAAAACAAAAAATCTAGCAATTTTTCTTACTTTATCTATTTATTTTATAGTTGCAATTTATCTTATCTTATTGAAATTATGTAGGGAAGACCGGGGCTAGTTGGCAGCAGGTGTAAGTTAACGAACCATCTTCAAAGCCTTTCATCAGAGAGTGACAAAAATTACACAGAACCTTCCTAATTAACCATTTCATCATTCACTGAAGTATTGTTAGGATTCGCGCATGCGCATGGGAAATATTAAAACGTATTTTTTGGACAAAAGCGTAACTTTTGGAACATCGTTTCCTTTTTAATTTGCAAAGAAAATAGTTAGTTGTATAAAAAAAAATGTTATTGTAAAAGTTCCAGTCACAATTGGTTTACTATTTCCAGTTAGACTTTTCTCAAAGTTGCCGTTTTTAAGGATCTATGGACTTTTTATTGAAAAAAAAAATATTTTTTCAATAAAAAGTTTGTTTTTTATATTCTGTTTTTTGGGAAAATAATATATATTTTTAGAAAAATATTTTTTTTTTTTTTTTAACAATATTGAAAAAATTTGTTGTTACAAAAAAAAAAAAAAAAACTTTTTTTTAGGTTTTTTTTTTGCAAATAAAAAGTTGGCTACTGTTTTGGCTTTTATACGTACTAACCCAGACAGCAAGGATATACTGGTCCGATAATGGCCAGCCTATGCCAGCAAACTCATTAAAGGCCCGATAAAGTTCCGTTCTTGGATTGTCAGTTCTGGGAAGCCGTAACAGGGCTATTGCCAAGCCTTTATAAAATTGCCTGAGTTGGGTAACCGTAAAAAAAAACCATTAATGGTCCAACGAAGATTTGTCAAAGCAGAACAACAGGCATTGGGCCGATACTGGCCCATCATTGGTAAAATCAAATAATAATGATATAAACAAGAACGTTTGCGTTTACAGCGCAGAATTTCGCATCCATCTTGTAAGTCAAATGGCTGATTACCGCGTGTAGTAAACTTAAGAAGTCTAGTAAATTTAAGAAGTAGTATATCAAATTAATAGCTGAGTAACTAAAGATAAAGCTAAAGTTTTATACCATTAAAGAAATATAATGAGCTGCTCAAACTGGGGGGAATGTTCTAATTGTCTTTATTGGGACATATTTGAAAACTACTAGTTGAACTTTAAGTATAATCAAAACAAGATAGAATAATTAAAGTTAATATGTCGTAATTGCAAATTACTGAGTCTCCTGAAAGATGAAATAATTTCCTTAAAACGAAGTATCAAAAGTAACGAGAAACAAATTACAAGTGAAGTAAAATTGACAACTGAAGTTATGAACAAAGCAATCAGAGATAATGTAAATGTAAAGATTAACGAACATTTAAATATAAACAAAATTGATCGTGAAAGTGCTTAAACACAATTCAACAAGAATAATAACAGTTTATTAACAACTAAGGATGAAATTATGGAAATAAGAAAAAGGCAGAAAAATCTAATAGTTAAAGGGCTACCTGAAAATAGTAATGATGTTGATGATATTATTAGCTACATAAATAGAAATTATAAGCCAACCTATTAATAAAACAGATATAATTTACTGTCAGAGACTTAGAAAACCTTGCAGCACCATAACCAGACTTCTGTGTATTGAAACTAAGGAAAAAGAAACAAGAAGAAAATTGCTACAAATATGGAAGAACTCTAGAAATATAGAAAATTACATAAGACCAGATTTGGCTATGCAGCAATTAGAAGTCGATAAGAAATTGAGAGCTGAGCTTAACATATTGGGTAAAAACAATTACAAAATAAAAAAAGGAAAAACTGTCAAAAGAAATCACGGTGATCACCATAAAGTACAAGTAGCTGCTGGAAAAGATATAAAAACATTTCATAATACTAATGATATAATAAAACGAATGATACAAAAACTATTTAAGAAAATGAAAACAAATTAAAAATTAAACTAAACAGGATAAATAAAACCATTACGAATATTCATAAAGAAATCTCAGAGAATGAAAATAATAAACATATTTTGGACACCAATATCAATATAAATATTAGCAGAGCAGAAAAAGAAAATAGTCAACCTGTGTCCAATTATATTGAAATTAAAAATAAAACAGATACAGATAAAAAACACATTCTCTCAAATACACAAATGAAGATAAGAGAAATCTATAACACTATCTCTATAAGACAAAAAATCTTTAATCTTGCAAACAATACAGAGGATCTAGATTGGCAACTCCCAAGATAAAGTAAAAGGTTATGACGTAAAAAAACCAAAGAATCACTTTGACTAACAACATGGAATATAAATGGGCTTCGGGCGCATTGGCTTTAGGTCAATGAGTATTTTAAAGATTATGAAATAATTAATATTGTAGAAACCAAAATAGACTCTAATGTTACTACAGCTGCAATAGATATTCCAGGATATGTAGCTAGTAGAAAAGACAGAACATTTAATGGTGGAGGACTTGTTAACTATGTTAAGGAATCAATCAAATTAAAAAAAAAAAAAAAAGTATCGTATGTTGAACATTGAATTTTTAATATTAGAACTGATCATTTCAAAACGCTCAAGACCAATTATTTTGCTAAGTGTCTATCAAGAATATCAATTACCTGTTCCAGATGCCTTGATATAATTGCCATAGATCATAATCTAGTATGCCTTAAGTACAAAGTAAATAACAACTCTATAAAAACAGATTCAATTACAAATAAAATGAAACCTGCACCTAAAAGATCATTTAAAAATGTAATCTTTGAAGACCTCAATAAGAGAATTGAGTTAATTAAACTTGAGCCATCAATTACAACAAACGATTTAGTAAATACTTGGTATAATACAATCAGAATAATAACTCATAAATTTGCTCAAATTAAAAATTTTCCATAAAATTTATGATAAAAAGAAGAGATTATTTAGCTAAAAAAAGAGGAAAACATATACAGTATACAGATAAAAAAGAAAAAGAAGTTAAGGATATTAAAAAACAGATCAGAAGCCTTATAATGAAGTTTGAAATAGACAAAGAAACAGAAGCATTCCAAAGCAAAAACCCCAAGGATGGTTGAAAATATATTAAGAAAATGTGTTTCAATACTATAGATAAAAATCAAATCCTTGATAAATATACAATCAATTTAAACAATCTAAATAACCATCTAGCTTCAGTTGTTCAGTTCAAAAATAGGGCTTTACTTGTTTGACCATACTGATGTGACCAAATCAACAGCTTTAGTTTTAAGTTAGTGAAAACAGAAACCGTATAGAACATACTTAACCAAATAAAAAACAACTCATCAGCTGGGCATGATGGACTCTCAGCTAATATAATCAAACGATTGGCCAATTAACTAACAACAAATCTAACCATCATTCTAAACAAATCCATAGATGAGGGTGTATTTTCTGAAATCTAGCTAATATTACAACAATATGAAAGGGAAAAGGTAGAAAATCTGATCCGGAAAACTACCGCCCAATCTCAGTTTACCATTACTTTCAAGAGTTTATGAAAAAATAATATGCAGACAATTCATTTAGTAGACAGAGTCTATTAAATGAGCTTGTTAAAATAGGACTAAGCCAAAAAGCTGGTAAACTATTTCAAAATTACCTAGAAGGAAGGGTTCAGAGGGTGAAAAACGGAAATAGGATTACCCAATGGAAGCCGATAAAGCGTACTTCAAGGTGGTGGCCTTAGCCCTGAGCTATTCAAACTCTACATAAGAGATCTTCCACAATCATTAACAACTGTGTCTTATTTATTTGCAGACGACATTACCCTATTAGTTGCAGACAGCTCACTACAAGTTTTCTCTGAAAAATTAATCAAAGCGTATGGAGATACCAATAAGTTCTGTGTTGATTATGGTTTCACTATTAACTCCAGTAAAACGCAACTGATAGTGTTCAAATCACCGATAAAAATCTTCTTGATAACCTACATATTAAAATTGAAAATATTGGGGTTCAACCAGTAACTCATGTTAAGCTATTAGGGGTCACTATAGATCAACATGTCCAATTCAAAGAACTAATTAATACAACCGTTAAAAAACGCCACTTTAGTTTGGGAATATATAGCAAAAGCATCTGTCAGGCTTCCGAAGGAACCTTTAAATATAGTGTATAAAGGACTTCTACCGAGTCAATTAGAATATGCCAGCATATTATACCTTGGTCAATCCAAAGCGCAACTAAAGAGGCTTGACGTAATACAAAAGAAGTGTGCCCGAATTATCTGTCATAAACCTGGGAACACTCATTCGGCCCCCCTTTCGGACGAACTAAAGCTGTGCATCTTGGGAAGGAGAAAAAGTATTTATGCAACAAGAGTAGTCAAGTCGGCATTGTCGGGAGTATGTCATCCATCGATGGCTAACATGTTTAAAATAAACGGCGACTCAAATCTTATTGTTAAAAAAGCGGCGAACCGACAAGGAAATAAAGGCTTCGACATTATAGGGGCCAACATATTTAACAGAGTTGTTTTCTAATATATCCATTGCGTTATGCCATTAGCATACACTACTCAAGCAGTGGAAGAGCAACCGGAAATAAAAAAGTTTACTGATTTTATTATCTGATAATACGCTAATTTAATAGTAGTAGTTAATAGTCGGCTTACGTCATTTTCTAGGCTTTTCTATTTTAAAATAGTTTCTAGGCTTTTCTATAAACGAGGGGGGGGGGGTGTAAATTTTGTATGGTCATAACTTTTGAAAGTTTTTTTAAAGTATGCCTTTATAACTAAAATTAATTTTTTAAAATCATTTTTATACTTCCAAAAGTTACAATTTTTCTTATTGTCGCAGGATAAAAAAATTATTGTAAAATGTTATTTTTACCAACATGTTCAAACTGTTGTTGGTCAGATTTTATACTTTATATATAAATATATATATTTCAAAAGAATAACGCAAGAACTTTTGTAATTTTCATGTAACGTAAGTTAGCAAAAACGTGATAAAGTGTTGTTTTTTCTTAAAATTAGTTAAAAAACTTTTAATTAGTTTTTTAATTAATTTTTAGAAAAAACAGACGCGTAAGCCTCAATTTGTTTGAAAAAAACTCTTTTTTAAAAAAAAAAAAAGGTTAAAAACAATAAAAATAACACTGAAGGAAAATCATTTTTTCATTAGAAGTTCCAAAAAAAATCAAAGAAGTTCCAAACTTTCACAGATTCGAAATAAACACAAACATAAACATTCGAAATAAACATCTCATAAGTCATAACCCATTAACCATCGTCATTGTCACTAGGATCCTTGAGAGAATCATCCATGAAATTCAATTCGACCTCTTCTTCGCTTTCCTCCTCGGTATGTGGAAAATCCTCCTCCTCATCATCAACTGGAATTTTTTTTCACCTAAAGGAAATATATATGTTTCAGTAAAGTAAAAAAAAAAAAAAAAAAAAAAAATTATTCAAATTAATATCGTATACCTTTGTTTTTCTTCTTCCTCTTCTTTGCATGTTGAGGTACTTCAGCTTCTTCGACTTCATTATCAAGATCTTCATAGGACTCCACCTCAGGATCTTGGAGCTCTGAGATCCATTCATTACCAGAGTCTACATCTCATTGAGTCTTGAACTCCCTGCGTTTTAGTTTCAAATTGAACATAGTGTAAACCAAATCATTAAATTTCGCTTGCTTCAAGCAATTTTTTCTCTTTGTATACACCTATTTATTAAAATATTAAAACTCAGTAACATAAAAACCGAAAACATATAAAAACCAAAATACTTTATATTATTACTTGATTGAAAGAGCTCCAATTCCGTTTACATCCAGTAGCACTGCAAGTCAAGCTCGAGATTCTAATGCCAAATTTTGCTAGTTCAGACGTTTGATCTCCAAAAGCTCTCCACCAATCCGCTGAATATAGTAATGATATTTTATTAAATTGATAGAAAAAAAAATGGTTAAGATGTGATCCTATATCGTGTCCATCCTCTGGTTTATCAAAAAATCATATTTTAGATTTCGAGCAATTTTTTCTTTTGCCTTGTCCATAGCTTCGTAAATAAATCTTATTGGTGGATACTTCTCGGAACCCACCATTCGAAGAGCTATAACCAAGGACTTTGTTATGCTGATAAGTAACACCAGGCCAAAACGACTTGCTTTTTAGATTTATGTTGCGCACATTTTGCCCAAATGATCAAGATGCATAACCACTGGTTTTCCACTTTTTTGAAGTAAAAAAGGATTCAAGTCCAAGTTTTTGCTCCAAACAAGCTTTGCAAAGTAAAAGATGTAGTGGCAAATTGAATAACAGCAGGTTTCACCAAATCAACCTTAAAAGCAACTTTGCATCTTTTACTTAATCCGATGCACCAATAGACTTTGAAAAGTAAGTACCTTTAGGGTTATTAACTAAAAAATTTATCAAAGTTCGCCCCTTTGTGTCAGTCCAACCGTCAGACATAATACTACAACCGGTCTCAATCCATAAAAGTTTCGCTTCATCAACAATGGCAGAAATAGCATTTTTCTCTTCTTTTAGAATCCATGTTTGCAACTTGTGCATAGTTGGGGATTTAAATCCCTTTCCAAATCCACATACATCATTCAACAACGCCCAACATGAAGCGCTTGTTGCTACATTAAACGATATTGAATTCTCATAGAAACGTCTGATAGACCTGCAAATCCGTCTTCTTTCGTTTTTCTTCCAACTCTCATTCAAGGTAACTTGGTGCATTTGATAACCTTGGGAACATTCAGCACTCCCGCTACCAATATTTGCTTATTGTATAAAGAAATCGATGGGTCCATGGACTTGTTTGTTTAACTTGACTGCACTTGAGCTTATTGGTGCTTTTTGTAATTGTAAATCGCCTTTAGTAGCAAATGACTTTTGCATTCCCACTCGACAAACTTCCTCCATTTTTTCGAATGCTCTTCTTTTACTCTCCGTCTTTTTTAACATAAACGACACAAATAAAACGATAGATTTAATGATTAGTTAATGCAATTATACGGGTATATGAGTACAATATAAGATTTAATCATACAATTTTTTTTTTTTATCTATATTTTCGTCATTAAAAAGTAATCTTTTACAATGTTTTTACAACATTAAAATATAACATTAAAGTTTCGACCGGAGCTGGCAGAAGACATGGTATATTATCATCGAGCCCCTATAATAAAACTAAAAAATTCAGCGGATAAAAATGAAAAAGAAAAAAAGAAACTAAAGCAAGAACTGATTTAAAAATCAATTTGCTATTTACAGAATTAGAGAAAAAAAAATTACTTATTTCTTCTCATTATTATTATTTTTTTAATTCTCTATTTTATTCTACTTTTATATTCTATTTTTATTATATACGCACGCATAGACACACATACGCACACGTACACACAAATATATGTCCGTTTATATATACATACAAAATCAAATAAATCTGTTTTATATTCCCTATACAAATTGTGTAAAATCTAATAAATATTGCATTTACAAAATATTATAAATATTATAAAAAATTTATAAATATTATATAAATATTGCGTTATTATTGTAAAATAAAATAATATCATGCATATTCTAAGTACCATACAATATAATTATGATGTTGCGTCAATTTATAAGACATTAAATAACTAAGATTATCAAAATTTTAGAATATTTAAGTTTGATATATATCAAGGCCGTAGACAACTTTTTTTCATGTCTGAGCTAAGCAACTTTAAAACATGAAGAAAACTCCATATTTAAGTAAGTTCATATATATGAGAAAAAAATGAGGATGATATGCAAAAAATTGCGGTGATTAGAGACTGGGAACAACATAAACCCCAAAAATAGGAAGGGCAATGAGTCAAATTTGTTATCTTTATTTTGCCCCCCAGCCCCAAATAGGAGGACAATGAGTCAGACTTGTTATTTTTAATTTTTTCTCAAATTTAATTTTTATTAATTGACAAATTTCAAATTTTATTCATCAATCTCTTGTTGTTCGCCTTTTACAATATTTTAAAGTTTACATCCCCCTCAAATTGAGGGGCCCGTAAATTTCATAAGGTCATAAAAGCCGATCTTAAAAATATTATCGAATCAAATTTGAAATTCGTCAATAAATACAAATTAAGTTTAAGAATAAAATAAAGATAACAAATTTGACTCATTGCCCTTCCTATTTGGGGCTGGGAGGCTAACGTTTTGGGGTTTTTGTTGTTCCCAATCTCCAATCACCGCAATTTTTTGCAAAGCATCGTCATTCCTTGTATATATGAACATAATACACAAAAATGGAGTTTTCTTTAAGTTTCGAAGTTGCTTAACTGAAACATCAAAAAAAGTTGTCTACGGCCTTGTATATTTATAAATTTTATTATTCTAATGCATTCATTTTCTTAGTTAAAGTAAAAATATAATAATATATTTATATAACAAAATATTATTAAAGTCTAAAAACGAACTCTACAAATTAAAATCTTTTTAAAAGTCTTAATTTAACTTTCAATTTATCGATTTTTATAATGTGTTCCACATGAACGCACTCATTCAAATCGAATGTATTGCCTGTTTCGTAATTATCGACGTTGAGTTGCAACTCTAAACGCTTTCCTAACAAAATTGCTTAAAAACGTTTGAAGCAAACTATAATTTTTAAACATGTTGTTTGAGCAGGACCAAAAGCTAGAATTTAGGGCCGAAGCGGAGCTCGACGCAATAAGTAATTTATTTCATCGTGTTGGTTAAGTAATTCTTATTTCATCACGTTGGTTAATCACAAGGTTATTAACTAAAACTTTTTGTATTAGGAGAATTTAGAAAAAAACTTTTTTTTTTTAATGTGTATTAAAATTATTTATATTATTATTTTTTTATTTTGGTTGACATATAAAATATTGACATATAAATGTACATAAATAAATAAAAATTAGAACTGTATAATTATTTTTATTTAGACATACAAAAAAAAAAAAAGAGATTTATTTTTTATTCTCCTAATATAAAAAAAAAAATCAATTTGAGCCTTTTTTATTTTAGTTATAGTAAAACAAATCATTTGTAAGTTAAGGAGGGTTAACCATCAATCTCCGTATATTTGTCAATTCTTAACCCCTTCCCTCCTGTGACAAACCCCCTAAACTGTGATGACAGTTCAAAAGATTTATATGTAAATAAAACTTTGCAGCATTTTAAAAATTCAACCTAATGAAAATAAGGCAGTAAGCATAAACGTAAGAAGTGTAAGTAAAAACTTCGACAAACCAAAGATTTTCTTATTTAAATGACTCAAGTTAGTATTTATAAAGTTGTAATAATAAAGTAATTCTCTTGGTCTGGCGGAAATATGTTTTCGATTTGATTACTTTCATAAATGTTATGAAAAAGCACTTAGGAAGAATGCCACCAGTTTTTTAAAACTAACTTTGTTAATTATTTTTAATGAATGAATTCAATATGTTTGCAATTCTTTTGTTATGTAAATCTAAAAGTGAGTTTCCACTCATCTGTTTTTTTTTTTTTTTTTTTTTTTTTTTCAGTTTACAATGTTATTTATCAAAACTAATCATGGCTTTAATAAGTGACTTTGAAACTCTTGCCTTAAATTTTTTTGAAACGAAATTTTTTTCTTTACACGAAAACTCCGACCCAGATATTAATTACTTTCACGATACAAAAACCGAATGTTCTTACTATTATCCAAATGAATTCTATTTAAAATGTTACTAAAGAAAGCAACGATCAAATTAGAATTCTTCACGTAAATATCAGAAGCATTAATTGTAATTTTGAAAAGTTCCAAAATTTACTTGAGGAAACTAAATACTTTTTTAATATTATTTGCTTAACTGAAACTTGGGCTACCTCAAACGACATTAATAAAAATTCTAATTTTTATCTTTCTCATTTTGAAATAATTTCTCTTGAAAGGCAAATAAGTAAGCGCGGTGGTGGAGTTTTAATTTACTTTCATGAAAATATTAGGCATTGTTGTAGAAATGATCTTTGTGTTTCTGACGGCGAAGGAGAAATATTAACAATTGAGATTATTAATGAAAGAACAAAAAACATTTTAATTACCTGTTGTTATCGACCTCCTGATGGCGTGAGCGAGAACTTGAGCATGTTTTTACAGCAAAAGGTTATTGCGAAAGGTAACAACGAAAAAAAAAAAACTTTTTCGTTGGCGACTTTCATATGAATTGTTATGACTACAACGACGATAACAAAGTTAGAAACTTTTATGATGCAATTTTTGAATCTGGAGCAATTCCTTTAATAAATCGTCCAACAAGAATAGCAAAATATTCAGCAACTTTGCTGGATAATATTATTTCTACAGACTTGTTCAACAGTGATATAAAATTGGGCATCCTAAAAACAGATATTTTTGACCACTTTCCTATTTTTCTAACCATAAACACTGACCAACCGCCTTAACAAAAATTAAATAAAGTTATAAAAAAACGTTTTTTTAAACCATCAAATATTGAGTCTTTCAAAAAACAGCTCTCATTATTACATTGGAAACACTTAAATTTTAATGAAAACGCAAACAACCTTTTTGAAAAGTTCTTCGAAACATTCACCTCTGTTTACGAATCTAATTTCCCAATTGTTACAATTACATTAAAAACAAAACACTTTAATTACCAAAGGATTCAAAAAATCATCCAAAACTAAACAAAAACTATACATAAAATATCTAAAAACAAAAACACCAGCTAGCGAAAAAATTTACAAAGATTACAAAAATCTTTTCGAAAAAATAGTATACTAGCCAAGTGCTTTTTGAGTCAATTTTAACTTTACTAATTAATTTTGAATAGTAAGTTTTTTTTAAATTTTTTCGAATTTTTTCGAAATGATTTTTGTAATCTTTGTAAATTTTTCAATACGTATTGAAAGAAATTACTGGAAAACAAAAAACATGCTCAAGCTCTTTGCCACAAATGCTTAAAGTCAATAACAATAGCTTGTATGAACCACAAATAATAGCTCATAAATTCAATAAATATTTTACTGAAATTGGATCAACTCTGTCAAGTAAAATACCAAAAACCCAAACCTCATTTTATGATTTTTTGATACCTATCGATAAAAATATTTGCTCTGAAGAATTATCTGCCAAACTATCATTTGATGAGTTTGAAAAAGCTTTCAAATCTTTAAAAAAAAAATAAAGCACCTGGTCCAGATGAAATAAACGGAAATATTGCTATAGATTGCTACGAACAATTAAAAAATATTATTTTTAAAATTTTCAGAGCATCTATCCATCAAGGTATTTTTCCTGAACGTTTAAAACTTGCCAGGGTTACCCCTATCCATTAAGAAGCCGACAGATCCAATATCAGTAATTATCGTCCCATCTCTGTTCTTTCTATATTTTCTAAAATTTTAGAAAGAATTATCTTCAATAGGGTATACAATTACTTTAATTACAACAACTTACTTCATAACAATCAGTATGGTTTCAGAAAAGGGAGTTCAACTGAACATGCCATTATTCAATTTATACATAACATCTCTGAATCTTTTGAAAAATCCCAATATACACTAGGTGTTTTTATTGACCTATCAAAAGCTTTTGATACGGTCGATCATCACATTTTAATCCAAAAAATTAAACATTATGGTTTAAACAATAGAATCTTAAAATGGTTTGAAAGCTATTTAACAAATCGAAAACAACTTGTTTATAGTAATAATGGTCAGCAAAGTGAACCCCTGAGCATAACCTGTGGTGTTCCACAAGGTTCTATTCTCGGACCACTGCTATTTTTAATCTATGTAAACGACTTAAACAAAGCTTCCAAATTGAAAAGTATAATGTTCGCTGATGATACTAATCTTTTCTTATCCCATACTGATATTTATGAACTCTTTTCAACTACAAACAATACACTAAATGACATTTCTAATTGGTTTAAAGCTAATAAATTAACTTTAAATATTAACAAAACGAAATGGATTATCTTTCACTCTTGCGCAAAAAAACGTTTTTTACCAAGCAATATGCCTCAAATTTATATTGATGAAACAATAATAAAATGAGATACTGTTATAAAATTCTTAGGAGTTTACCTTGATGAGAATATTACTTGGAGAAAACATATTGATCATATAAGCACAAAAATTTCCAAAAATATTGGCATTTTATACAAAGCTCGAAATTATCTAAACAAAAAAAAACTTAACCCAACTCTATTATTCATCTATACATAACTATATAAATTATGCAATCATCGCCTGGGGAAGTACGGATAAAAGTAAATTACAACATCTTTATTACCGTCAGAAACATGCAATCCGCGTAGTTAATTATGCGGATCGCTTTTCACATCCAAAAATGTTATAAATAAATATTTTTACTTTTTAAGGTTCCGATGATAAGATCCTTATGATCTTCGTTCGGAAACCTAGTTTTATATTGTTACTACGACTTAAATGTATTACGACTTATGTTTATATATTACGACTTATAAATTTTGTTATAATTTTTTATAGATTAGTTATAATTTTTCTAAGGGGAATGTAAAAATAATCACGTGAGCATGTGCAGTTTTCTTTCGGACAAATAAAATCTTTTATTACGCATGCTCACTAAATGACGTAACGTAAGTTAAATACCAAGAGATCGTCCATAAATTACGCAACGCAAAATTATTTAAAAAACAGAATTAGGAAATATTAAACTCTTTTACGCGGCGATTTTCATCAATTCACGGAGTACTCTACATTTGCCTCACTTGATTGGGTAAACATTGCTGAAAAATATCTAACTTTAGGGCTGTCCAAACTCTTACTCCATCTGGAATTCGTTTTGCTCATCCAAAATCCATCACACAATTATATCAAACATAAGTGCCGGATCAAGGGGGAGCTAAGGAGCTATAGCCCCGGGCCCCGCAAATTTAGGGGCCCTTCAAAAATTTAGAGGACTTTTTTTTTTTTTAAGTCACTTTTAGGCTCTAGCTCATAAAAAGGCCTCCAAAAATAAAAATAGCCCCGGGCCCCAAAAAGTCTTGATCCGCCACTGTCAAACCTTGATAGTACCGACATTGACTTGAGGTAAGTTTCCACTCATCCGTTTTTTCACGGGAACGGGATAGGAAAGGGAAAAATAATCACGTGAGCATGCGTAGTTTTCCTTCGGACATATTAAAACTTATACTACGCATCCCCACGTGATTATTTTTCCCGTCCCTTTCCTGTTCCCGTAAAAATACGGATGAGTGGAAACTCGCCTTTACGGTCTGGAACTTTGTAAAACCAATGACGTAACAATGCAAAACCAAGACAGAAATATTGATAATAGAATATCAAAATTCAGGGCAATAATTCAAACTCTTATTCAGTCTGGAATCCGCTTTGCTCATCCAAGCTCTATCGTTCAGCTATATAAAACATTGGCAGTTCCGGTACTTACGTATGGTCTTGAACTTTGCGATTATAAAGACGTATTAATGCAAAAGCTTGATATAATAGGGAGGAATGTACTTAAGTCACTCTTCAATGTTTCCAAACACAGCAAAAATTATATTCATTCTTTGTTCGACATGCAAGATGTATCAACAATCGTACAGAAAAACAAGTTAAACTTATTTATTCGGATATTGAGTAGAAAAACAACCTCTGGTATTGTAAATTCGGAGTTTAAAAAAATCAAACCGCTAAGCACTCTTTTCTAGATGATGTCATAGCTTAATGCAAAACAAACAAAAAAAGTAAAAATTATTGTGTTGTGTCAACAATAATTTTTACTCAAATATAATTCCTAAAAAAGGTCTTCAAAAGTTAAGCTATTCTTTTCTCCAATGAGTTCTGGAACTCATTGGTGCAAAGGAAAATATTCAAAGATATTCTTGAAGTAAATATTCCAAGATAAAAACTTATTTCTTGTCAAAAATGTAACTTTATAATAATTTATCTTGTATTATATACAGCGGGTGATTAATAAATAAAAAATATGTATAATTTAATTTTTTATTTAAATTAAGACTCTGCGAGGGAAAACTTTAGATTTTTTTTGTTTTGTTAATTGTGAAAGTTTGCGTTACGAAATTTATGGAGGATCCCCAAGTAAATTAAATTAAAGTATGAAAAGAACTAATTTACTTTCCTTACCCAGTCTCTGATAAATTTTTAAATATTTTATAGAAAAATATTGGTATAGAATAAATATTGGTATAGAACTCCCAACATCTTATGAAAGTTTCTAATACAAACCGCTTTACTGATTCGCAGCAATCTGACGTAAAAGTTAAAACAATTTTTTTACTTTGTTTTCCGTGCAACGTAAGTTAAGTGTATTTTTAAGTCCTCTTTTAGACAGACTCAAAAACTTTTTAGCCTATTTTATTCCTTATAGGCTGTTCACACGAGGGTACATTTGATGGAACATTCCGTGGAACATGGAACATGAACAAATATCCTCTCGTGTGAACGCAAATGGAACAAAAATTCAAGGAACATTTGAGGAACTTTTGTACCGTCCCGCCAACCCAGAACAAATACATGTTCCGGAACATTTATTTGGTTTTGTATAAAAAATGGTGCCTATTTACAACTATTTTAAAAATAAGCGTATGCATATAAGCTAAATGATTCAATAAAAAATACATTGCAAGATGCAAAGTTGCTGTGAAAGTAACTCAAACTATTTTTTTTACAAAGTTGTTGTCATCTTAACCAGAGTTTTTAGTCCTTGATCTCTGCATTGTCCTAGGTCTTGGTCATATATCAAGACAAGATTATCGATATACTATTTGCGTTTTAACATGTTGCCTTGAAACTTTTAGTTTTTGCCTTCCATCTTTTTTATTGAATTCAAAACATTTCTTTGAATATAATTTCATATCTTTATTATTTAAAAACAATTATTTGAATATAATTTCAATTATTTAAAAACAATTATTTGACCATCACAAATTTCAAGTTATTTTTAACGATATTTAAAATTTGTATAAATAGAATAGAAATTTAATTATTAGTGTATTATTAATTTAAAAAGAAGTTATATATGTGTGTTTAAAAACTTAATCTTAAAATATAACATTACAAAGACATTATTATTCTTATTAAGATCAGTTTTAATTTGAATTAACAAGAAGTATAATTTAAGGTAACATTTAACTTGCGTTAAGAAAGTTTAATTTTCATTGTTTAATAGTTTTTATTTAATTATATTCTTTGCAAGCATTGCTATTAATGCATTTTTAATAAACTTATAGTAATTTTATTTATAAAGTTCAACTTTGAACTAATAAGCAGAGTTGTTTATCGTTGCCAACGATATTATCACTGTTGGCAACGATATTATCACAACGATATTATTACTGTTGGCAAGGCCAACGACGTTGGCCTTGCCAACAGTGATAATAATAATAAAAATAATCATTATTATTATAATAATTATAATAATAGAATAATAATAGTAATAATAATGATAAAAATAACAACAATAACAATTGTTAATGTTATTATCATTATTATCATCATTGTTATTATTATTTATATTAATATTATTAAAAATATTATTGGTATATATTGTTATATATGACTTTTGTCATATATTTTATTTAAATGTCATATATATTTTATTATATTAGCTTTGTCTTATCTTGTTATTTTAATTTGTGAACATTACCATTAGTATTTTCCTCATAAATATTCTGTATTTACTTAATATTAGTTAATTTACTGTATGTGAATAATTGTGAAAGTAAGACCATTATTCAGAATATATATTATTGATTGACTATATTGATATGACTGTACCTTATATCTTTGCCACAATGTACTACAATTATTGACATAAAATTAAATAAAAATAAACAATAGTGTTGAAAGATCAATATTATTAAATAACATAATTATCACATTGCATGGAAAAGTAAAAAAAAGTAAAAGTAGCATCTGAAAGTTTCTGTTCTCTTGGCTACCAGTTTTTGGCAATTTATTAAATTATTTAGTAAGCCCATAACATTATTAAATTATTTTAAGCCCATAACATTTATAGCAATTATGAAGTTTAACCTTTAATTTTATTATTAACTATTTCTCTTCTTTATGTTGTTGTTGTTGTTGTTGTTATTGTTGCAAGATTAAATGTACTTATCCTTTTTAGTAGGTAAAACTTTAATTTTACAGAATGTCTCAGCATTCAGAAAAAGAGTGTATTGACGCTAGCACAACAAATATTGGTCTTTGCACATCTTCTTTAAACAAATTTGTATGGAATATGGCTAACACAAGAGTATTATTAGATTTATGGAAAGATAATTACAAAGCATTAACATCTGCAAGAAGAAATACAAATATTTACAAACAAATGGCAGCTGAATTTTCAAACACATTTAATATCGTATCTCCGTTAACTGGATATCAAATTCAATCTAAAATTAGTAATTTGAGGAAACAATTTAGGTATGTACATATTCTACATTTAATGTTTGATACCTCACTGAAATACTGAAAGTATTTTACAAAACTAACCATGTGTAATAATATCTAATTGCAATTTAGCTTGTAACTGAGTGTTATATTCAAAATTACTTAAATCTTATTTAGTATTGAAGATTTACCGCTCGTTGATAATTATTTTGTTAATAATTCGTTATTTTATTATTCGTTAATAATTCGTTAATTTTGTTAATAATTATTTCGTTAATAATAATTTGTCCTTTTAAAGTTATTTGATTAATGTTATATGGTGTTAATGATGTGCTTATATTTACTTATATTTTTGTATATTTTTCATAGACGAGAAAAACTTCAAGTTGGTTCATCGGGAGGAGCTCCTAGTAAATGGTGGCCTTACGATATTGTTGCCAAAATAATAGGTGGTGAAGCTTCCCTTGACAATGACCTTTTATCTCAAAGTCAAAACTTTTCTACTCAAGATTTTCAAGATGGTCAGGTAAGTTTAGTATAATTTATTGTTGTATTTTTTAAAGTGCTATATATTTTTTAAAGTAATATAAACAAGCATGTTAACTATTTCTACAAAATAAGGTTTAAGAGGTTCTTAGTTTTGCAACATTTGGCAGACTTAAAACATATAATATAAAGTTTTTGAATTGTAAAAGGGATCTTTTAATATTGGCTAGATCAATTTATAAAATGCTATTGTCTAAATAGATCCTTTTTGTTCAGGGAAGGAAGAGAGTAAAATGACTTCAAGTCAAGTCTTTCAAAGTCAAGAGATAAATTTTGATTGAAACATGATTTATAATCATTTCTCAAGTGTGTAATTTTTAATGTGTATATTTTATTTACAGATTGCCACAATGGAAGATGGCAAGGTATTTTAAATATTGAAGCTTTGGATGATACAAGTGATGTGCAATCAATTGTCACTATTCCTGATGAGGAACCAACTCAATCTACATCCGGCTGCAATAAACGGAGGAACTCTGATGATGAAAAAACTTTGAATAAAATAGCAAAAACTGAACCGGTGAGAAAAAATAAAAAAACAAATTTTTCTTCTGAATATTTAAAAATAGAAAATAAAAATCTAGATGTTCAAATCCGTTCACAAGAGATACGAATCAGAGAGGTTGTTGCTTTAGAGCGTATTTGCGATGCAATTGAAAATGCATCTAAAGCCCAAGTAGATGTGTCTAAAGCCCAAGTAGAATATTATAAATTTTTAATAAAAAAATAAGGTGTTCTATTAGTCAAGATATCTTTTTAGTAATTATGTTAAAGTTGAAAGGTCAGTATTTTTTCAACAGTATACCTTGTTTACAATTCTATGCAATATATATTTCATAATGTTTTTCAATGTTATAACTAAAGAGATGGTTAGTGAAATATTGTACAAGCTTGTAGATGAAGCTCTATTTATATATTTTTTTTCATGTTACCATATTACTATTATCAAAGGAATTTTTACTTTATATAAAATAAAAATATTTTGTGATTTCAAGCATTAAAATGCATATCTGGTGGTATTTTTTAAATTTGTCATGTTATTTTATAAATACCTTTTTTTGTATCTCTATGCTATATATATTTAGTATTTTTACCAAATAATTTTTTTTGCGATATGAAGCAAGCCTGTAGATGAATTATAGTGATATGTTTTTTGCCAACGTGTTTTGTTTTTAGTTTATACAAATTACATTACATGTTTCATTTTTGTTTTTGTTAACAGATCATGCTGTATCAATTCTAACAAAATGGTTTTTAAAAATGTGTTTTAATTTCCCTTGAATTGTAATATAATAAGTATTATATTTATTTAATATATTTAAATAGTTTTAATAGCTTTTTAGGGAAACATCTGTAAAGGAAAAAGCTATTGGAAAAACATGGAAAGCGTTTTGGCCGTACTTCGATCTAGAAATAGAACATTAATCAATTATGAATCAATCACCCACCCATTTTCATATTTAGATTTAGCTTCCTTTAAGTTAAATCAACAAGGGTATCTGATTGAAAGAAAAGTTTGGGTTAGGCCGAAAAGTTCTCAATGTTTTAATGAGATTTTCACTCAAATGGAGGAATGTGAATTTAAAGAGCATTTTCGAGTAAATCGTAACACATTTAATTTCCTAGTTAATGAATTGCATCCACATTTAGGCAAAACTACCACAACTATGCGAGAACCTCTTTCACTAGTAAAACGTGTTGCAGTTGCATTACATTATCTAGCTTCATGTGAAGAGTATCGTGTTGTGTCTAGCCTTTTTGGCATAGGATAGTCAACAGCAAATTTAATTGTTCATGAATTTATTAATGCTGTTAATGACATTTTGCTACCAAAATATGTTAAATTTCCATTGTCAGTGGAAAATTTAAATAAACATAGTAGAGATTTCGAAGCTATTCTTGGTTTTCCACAATGCATTGGAGCTGTTGATGGACGCCACATCCCTATTTCAGCCCCTAAAGATCAAGCAATTTCTTATTATAATTATAAAGGGTGGTATTCCATTGTACTTTTTGCCGTTGTAGACTGTCGATATCGTTTCATTTATACAAGTGTTGGATCGCCTGGTAGAAATGATGACAGCTATATTTTGCAGAATTCTTCTTCTTTGAAAGCAATTTTAGAATCAAATCTATTTGATAAATGTTGTAAAGAGCTGGGCGATTCTTTTGTTCCGCTATGTTTGATAGGTGATTCAGCATTTCCTTTAACGCGTCATTTGTTAAAACCTTATCCTAAAAATTTGGAGCTTGAAATTCAAAAAAATTTCAATAAAATACTTTGCGGAGCTAGAAGAGTAGTTGAGAATGCTTTTGGGCGCGTTAAATACGAAACAGTTCGCGTTTAACATAATGCCAGCCCTACAAATTATTATTTGCAAGATTTTTAAAAGTGCAGTTGTGTTCAAAAACTTTTTTGTGTCAAGAAAAATATATTGAGTCACTTTGAAATAAAAAAGTTGAGTAAAAGGGGAGTCATTTCATCCCTCGGCTTCGTGAAAATTACGAATTTTTAAGAGTTGTTATTATATTTTTTCCTAGCCTTTTTTGATTTCACTGAGTGGAAAAGCTTTTTATATTTAAAGTTTTTTTTTAATTAGAATCTTTATGCCTTTTCCTTTCATTTCCATTCTTTGGTATTTTATTTCTTCAATAAAATAGTCTGGAAATTAGGCTATTCGATGCCAACATGATGCGGGGCAAAACGAGACATTCTGTTTGTATTTTTTTTGCCGATATCTAATATTATGTTTATTTATTTTTTTACATTAAAACAACAACCAAAGCAGATATTAATATTTACATGCTGTAGATTTAAATTTATTATACTGTATTTACTTACTTTTTATTTTGTTAATTGAAATGTTTAGTTGTTATTCAATATAGAATTACGTTTTATATTTTGTTAACTTATATTTAAATATAATAAATATTTAATCAAATTGAAGCAAATAATTCCCTTATGTTTATGGAGTCAATTTCCAAAATGCACAACCTGGGCTCATTCGGACTGTTATTTGTTTCAAAATACTGGTTAAGCAATATGTGATTTAGTTGATTAGTGACAGTTTGATTATAGCTGTAATATATTATAAAATGTGTTTCTTGCTAATCCTTTTAATGATATGTTTTTTTTTAACTTTATTTATTTAAACTAGCAAAAAGCAACCCGTAATACGGGTTTTGGTCGGTCTGTTACATAATTAATTTATAGCGGCTGTTTTCCACAATTTAATGTTGCAAAACCTTAACTAATACCCTTTTAAAAAATCGCCTTCAGCTTGAAAAAATTAATCCATCTGTAAAATTAACATAAAATGTATGAGGAGGTAAAATAATTTACCAACTACTACTTAACATTTACTATTACTACTTAACATTATTTAAGTAATTTACAAATGGCATAGGTCATAACAGTGTAAGGCAGAACCATTTTCATCGACCTTCCTAAGTTTAACACAATATGTTTTTAGTTACTGACACAAAATAATAACACTTGATCATGCTTTAAATTGACGAAAGTATCAACTAAATCCTTGTAATAATTTTTATATTACGAACCATTAAGATTAAAATGAAGTTAACTTATATTATACAGGAGTTATCAATTTTTTGGTATTCCCTTGATTAGTTGCTCGGCTTATCAATTATAAAGATCGATTTGCTCATGCCAAACCATTATTATTTCAAATGAAAATTCTTAATGTTTATCAGCTAAATATTTTTAATATACTTTGTTTTATGTTCAAGTGTAAAACCAACGAATCTACAGTTTCTTTTCATAATCTATATACCTTAAAAGATAAAAATAAATATAACTTAAGAAATGATAATCAAATTCAGCAACCTTTATCTTTAACTAATTTTGGAAAGTCATGTATTTCAAATCGAGGAGCTTTTCTATGGAACAAAATAGTTTTAAAAAATTTTGATTTTTCCCATGAATGGAATTATCTTTCATTCAAGAAAAAACTAAAAGAAATTGTTTTGTCTTTTGAAGACATTTTTTTATATTTTTAAATTCTTTTAAAAATGAATATGAAGTTTATTACATAAGGTAATATATAAATATTATATCTGATCCATAACTTATGTGTTTGTGAAAACAGTACTTTTTAAAATATTTTTGTATTTATATATAAGAGTATCAACAATTTCTTTATTCCAATTTTATTTATATATTATTACGAAATTTACGTTCTCGCTAATTTTTAATACGACATTGTTTTGATTTTATACTTCATGTTAATTTAATGTACTTAATATTCACGAGCGGTTCTCGATGATAAGACCTGAAGGTCTTCTGCGAGTCTCCGCGTTCTTTCTTTTTTGTATATATTTTCTTTTATTGTATAACGATTTTTATCTCAACTCTCTTATTGTATAACTATATTGAATATTCAAGAAAAGAACAAAAAAAAAAAAAAAAAAAAAAAAAAAAAAAAAAAAAAAAATTGTTCTTTAGAAAAAAAAATTGTTAACTTAAAAATGTTAAATGCACACATTTAAATAAATTTATTAAAAATAGCAAAGTTTATTATAAATAACTACGCAACTGAGTACAAATACCTTTCAAACGAAAAAATTTAATTTACGATCAAACATGGGTATAACAAATTTTTTAATGCATTAATGCATCATACGACAAACCTAAAATAAAAATTATAAGAGATAAGTAGACATAAAAAATTGTAAATCAAGAATATTTTCACAGTTCCAATTGATTTAATGGCTATTATTATTATTATTATTATTATTATTATTATTATTATTGCTATTATTATTATTATTATTATTATTATTATTATCATTATTTTTATTATTATCAAACTACAATGACATCGTCGTGAGAAATGGCTATATAAAGACCATTTATGGTAGTTGTAAATATGCATTTTTGTACAATTGTCATAATTGTTTTTAAATTTTTTTGTTGTTTTTGAGTTTTGACAGTACACTGGCAGTTGATTCCATTGTTTGACTATTTTGACATTGTTGTACCGAATATCAGACTTGTTTTGTTCTCTGGTTAGAATGTTGTCTTGTCTTGTGCCATGATTGGGTTAAACTAGAATATAAGTTTTTCATTTAGTCCATTTTTAATTTTTAATTGTTGTATTTGGCCTCCTCTTAATCGTCTTTCTTCCAGTGTTGTCAGACCAAGGTAGCGGATCCTTTCCTCGTATGTTTTACCACTAATTTCTCGGACTAGTTTAGTTGCCCTTCTTTGGACTGATTCAATTGCTTTGATATCTTTTAGTTTATTCGGATTCCATACTGAAGCACCGTACTCCAGATGTGACCTCACCATTGACGTGAAGAGCATATTAAAAATGATAATGGTAATGTTTTTGAATGAATTTTTAAGCTGACCCAATATATGATTTGACGTTGCTATTACGGAATGGATTTGCCGGTCAAAAAATGTTTATATATAAAAATAATAAAAATTTTTTAGTTATGTTCATAATAAACCAGGGTTGACAAAAACCCGGATTTTTGAGCAAAAACCCAACCCAAGTGGGTTTTTGGGTGGGTTTTTGGGATTTTTAGTTTTTACTTAAGTTGCGTACAAATCTTTAGTAACAAAGCTTGATAAATTTATAGTAATTTAAAAGCTATTTTTCATTTTTTAAAGTTATATTCTCTTATACAAAAGCTTAATTTATAATCAGATTGCATTTTTTTCTAATATAAATTTATTGTTTAACTGAGTTATCTTTTTAGTCAAATTTAAAATAGAATTGAATTATATGTCTTTCTTTGACATTAACATGTCAAGGTATCAATTAGAGGGAAGAAATTAGGCTAGTGGGTAGAATAAAGTGACCATATTAAGTGATCAACCAAGTAGATTAATATGTAATCATTGCAAAGAGAGCATAATTAAAAAAGTAGTGAGAGTTAAGATCCATTTTGATAAATTCAGAAGTAAGAAAAAAGGAAACGTTAAGAATTCCGCCGAAGTATTTAGCGATACATCAGTTTTAAAGTCAAGATCATCTATATCTGCAGCATCGAACAAGTCAGAAGATAATGATTAATCAAATATGTTCATATATTTGAGTAAATTTTAAATGGTTGTATCCATTTGAAATATATTCATATATTTGAGTAAATTTTAAATGGTTGTATCCATTTGAAATATATTCATATATTTGAGTAAATTTTAAATGGTTGTATCCATTTGAAATATATTCATATATTTAAGTAAATTTTAAATGGTTGTATCCATTTGAAATATGTTCATATATTTGAGTAAATTTTAAATGGTTGTATCTATTTCAAATGGATACAACCATTTAAAAATTTATTCAAGTATATGAACATATTTCAAATGTGTTCATATATTTGAGTAAATTTTAAATGGTTGTACCCATTTGAAATATGTTCATATATAGTATATTTTTTTTCCTTAACATTTTACTTTTTATTACATTTTTGTTTTTAGTTTAAAACGTTTATTTAAAATATTTTTTTATTTTTTTTACCATTTCAATTTGATTTTTTTTTCTTCTGGAGGATGAGGAGGGGGGGGGGTAATCGAATTGGGGGTCTTTGGAAATTTGATAAGTAGTTGACAAGGAAGAGTGAAGGAGGGGGGGGGGGGATAAAAATCGCCATAAAATTGTTGACGTAGATAATGGACATAATATAATAATGAAATAGAAAATAAAAAATGTTGAATTATTAATTCAGAATAAAAGTTCTAAATTAAATCAAAAAGACAAGCGGTGGCCCCAGGCTTTGGCCTAGTCTGGCCTATTGGTTAATCCAGCACTGATTGTAAATAAATATCAAAAAAAATAAAACGTTTCGTTTTTTAACAACCGCCATTTTCAAAAAACGTGTTTGTTTTGGTTTTGATTGGGTTCGTTTAACAAGCTCGTTTAACGGAATGTTTAAGGATCTCAGCTTTATTAAAACAAAGTTATAAAAAAATTTGTATTCTTATAATTATGATCAAAAACAATCATTTTGCGACAGTCATTTTAAATCAATAATAATGAAAAATGGCTGAAAAAAAGTTTCGCATTAATACCGAATGTCTATATAGGCTCAAGCTATGCTTAATACGAGTTTTTAGATCTCCTAACTCTTGGTTTCTTTTTATTCTATTGTTAGCTTTATGTTTGGGTCAACAGCTTGTATACTATCAAGTTGGTCTCCTATCTAGTAAGTTTATGGAAGTACTTGGGTACATAAGAATAAGTACATACAAGTTTAAAGTTCTTTTGTTCGAAACTTTTTTACTTATTTTGACTGTATCCTTATTTAATTGTGCAACAAATTTAGTTTCTTCGTATTTATACTTGAATTGGAGAGATTTTTTGACAAAGGATGTCCATAAGAGCTACCTTAATCAAGAAACATTTTACAGAATTAATTTTGAAGGTTTTGTAGACAATATTGATCAACGTATCACTCAAGATGTAGATAAATTTTGTTTGCAATTAAGCAGCATTTCTGCTAAATTAGTTATTTCTCCATTCACAATTATATACTATTCTGTTAAATGCTATGAAGTTTCTGGTTACACTGGTTTATTAGCAATTTATGGCTACTTTATTATTGGCAGTTTATTAAATAAGTTTATTATGTCATCAATAGTTAATTTGATTTTTCAGCAAGAGAAATTGGAAGGTGATTTTAGATATAAGCATACAGAATTACGTTCTTTCTTTGAATCAATTGCTCTGATGAAATCAGTTGATAAGGAAAGAAAAAATGTGAATGTTTATTTTCATAAATTAATTTCAACACAAACAAGCATTGCAAATGTTCGTATTCTTCTTGATTTTTCAACCAATATTTTTGATTATTTAGGGGCAGTCCTTAGTTACATTATAATATCTTTTGCTATACTAACTGGTAAATATGACTCCTTAAAGCCTTTTGAACTTAGTTCTCTTATAGCCAAAAATGCTTTTATTTCTATGTACCTTATTAACTGCTTTAGTACTTTAATTGATTTATCTTCAAATGCTGCTGAAATATTTGGATATGCGCATCGCATTGGTCAATTGATTGAGCAGTTAAATACATATAAATGTACTAGTATCTCAGATCTATCATTACAACCTCTTGATAATGCTGATATCTTATACGAACTTCAAGGTGTAACTTTTTCAGCACCTAATTCATCAAAAACATTGGTATCAAATTTAAGTATTGTTATAAATAAAAACGAAAATATATTAATTATGGGAAATACCGGAGTAGGAAAAAGTTCTCTTTTGCGTGTTATTTCTGGTTTATGGGAGCTAACTGATGGGAGAATTGTATCTTACTTATGTGAAAGTGATGTTCTATTTTTGCCACAAAAGCCATTTTTAACAAATGGATCCATACTTGATCTGGTTATTTATCCACATAGTAATATAAAAATGTCTTCCACATCTAAGGTTATAGATAGAGTCTATGATGCTCTTAAAAAAGTAGGTTTGTTAGAAATTGTAGACCGCTTAGGAAACATACACGTAGAATCTTCAAATCGATGGTGTGACATTATTTCACCTGGAGAAGTTCAAAGGTTGAATTTTGCAAGATTGTTTTATCATAAACCTAAGTTAGCAGTTGTAGATGAGATTTCAGGTGCTTTAAGTATCCACGAGGAGGAGAATTTATATAGATACTGTCAACAACTTGGTATAACACTTTTAAGTGTTGGACATAATGCAAGTCTTAAACAGTTTCATCATAAATGTCTTACATTAAAGGGAAATGGGGAGTGGGAGCTTTCTCAAATTGAGTTTTGTTAGAATTTATTGTGATATGTTTTTACTTTTTATATTTTATACAAATAACATAATTTTAAATAAAATTTATAAGTTATGTTTATGAAAAATGTTTTATATCAAATGTTTTTAATATAATTAAATGTAAAAATGTTTTATTTTTAAAATATTTTATGAAAAATGTATATTAATTTAGATTAGTTATCATTTATTTACTCAGTTACTGCAGCATTTTTGCAGGTTGATATTTCAATACATATTTTATTGGAATAAAAAACAGATTTCTTTTTTTTTCAAGTTATAAGTTGAAGGAGGATCTTAAGCTAAGGTTTTTTTTTTTTAGTAACTAAACTTTTGCTTTTCTTCATTGTTTATCATTTTATTTTCTAATGCAGAATAGTGTTATCTTTATTTAGCTGCAATCTGTTTTTACATTTCAATCAATGTACATAGGTTTCAATTACACATTTCCTTAGAAGGAAATATACAGTATGTCGTATAAAGATGTACAGATGCCGATTGTAGGTAAGTTATCTGAATTGTGCGAAGGTCAAAATGAGGTCAATGGAGAATTAAAATGTAAGAACAAAAGCAGTTAAGTCTTTCGTTGAAATATTACGTAAATGTTTGCAAAAACAGTTTTTTTAATATATTTAAGAAAGTAATATAAAAGCAAATGCAGTTTACACTCTTCTGCGGTAAGAAATGAAGTATATTTTTATTTTCAGTTGCTAAGTAAATGCATCTAAAACTTTGATTTAAAAAAATTCAGAAAGGCTTTATATTTCTCATCTAATTTTCGAACAGCAAGAAAGTTGTTAACTTTTTCTTACAAATTTTCATATTCTTTAGAACAAAAATATTCAGTAATTATTTTTACAGATTTATGTAGGTAATTCAAGCAGCATTAACTTTTTCAATCTTCACATGCTTAATGTTTAGAATCCCTGGCAGTCAGTATGAAAGTCGCTCTCAGTATGAAACAAAAAAGTAGATGAAGATGTGATGGTCTTGAATACCATGTCGTTTGATTTGACTTTGCTTTATTTTTTCCCTGCGGTTCTCACATTTTATTTAAAGACTTCACATTAAATATTTGTCAACAACTGTTTTCACCGTCTAAATCTTTGTTTAAGCATTTTATGATTGTTTTTTTGTCTTTTTTTATAAATTCACTTTCAACAAAGCTGCAAGTAATCACTATTTAAGTTAACAGCACATTTTAAATCAGAAAAACATAAAGACGGGAGACAATTAGATGCAACCTTACGACACTAGGACATTGTCTTAAACTTGGCTGCTAGAGCAGGTTCAACAGTGCAATTTATATATATTGGCGGTGACGCGCATTCTATTGATCTTGATGATATGGTGTATCTGGCGAAGTCTTAAAAAACTATTTGCAATCTTGTTGATATTCCTATATTGATGAATGGCAACATTGTAACTGTGTTTTTTACTTTAAATCTTTTCTAACTATCTTTTTTTACTTACCTCTTATGTAAACTTTGTATACAAATCATTGCTAAGTTAGTATTTGCATACAATAATATAGTATTTTATTGTTCCTAAGTGCTCCAAAAATTCTTATTTGTATAGTGTTTTTCCTAGAACATCAGATTTTTCCTAGAACATCAGCAGGCCATTGACAACATAATTTTTTACGCTTCAACTAGAGCTCTGGGAATTTTAAGGAACTTTTTGATATCGAATATCTTACCAAAGATGAAGTGTTTAATCGTATATTTTGTGATAGTAATAACCCACTTATAAGTGCCTTAACACAAAAATGTCTAGTTAGAAGACAAATTGCCTCGAGGAAAATATTGCAATTGGGCAATTGGGCAATATATATATATATATATATATATATATATATATATATATATATATATATATATATATATATATATATATATATATATATATATATATTGCAAACAACTTTTTTATGTTAAAATAAATTTTAGATAATATGTTATCTTTAGGTATTTTGATGTTTGGATCTGAGTTTTTCACTTAACAATGCATTGAAAAAAAATTCAAATAAAAATTAGTTTAATTTAGTTTTTTTTGAATATTTTTGTTTCAAATAACATTTTAAATATTTAAACATTAATTGTTTTATTGTTTAAAATCTTCAAAAATTTTAAAAATATATTTTACTGTTAATTGATCAGCTAATAGTCCGTGTTTGCGAAACACCAAAAAAAATTATATTAATAAACAGGGGTGTGGAGTCGTAAAAAAAAAGTAACGACTCCGACTCCAGTTGTTGAAATTTTTTGAGTACAACTCCGATTCCAACTCCGACTCCAACTCCAAAGCAAAATTTTTGAAAAATTCTTTGAATTCTTCAAAAAATATTGCGCAATAAATTGAAATTTTTTTTTTGACAAATTAATGCAACGTTCTTTGAGGTTTAGTATGAACATAAGAGTAATTGAATGTTTTGTACATGCACGTGCAATACCAAGAAATATTAGTATCGGAGTCGGAGTCGCGATATTTTTTAGCGACTTCGACTTCGCTAAAATTGTCGCAACTCCGACTCCGATTCCACAGCCCTGTTAATAAATTGTTCGCTTGTCCACAATTAATTTTTTCCCTCGTAATGACCTATACGTTAATGAAACAGATTGTGAGTCATTGTGCATTGAACTTTATAATAAAACCACAAAAAACATAATCGTTAATGCTATTCATAGAAAACCATCTGGAAGCTTGAAAAATTTTAAAACTATTTGACTCAATTCTATAAAGAACGGCATATTTACGTTGTCTTCGATATCGATTTTGACTTAATAAAACAAGCTTCAATTTAAATTAAGCATTTTATCGATAAACTTCTTCAACGTTATGTTATTCCAACAATAAATAAGCCAACCAGAATAACTAAGAACTCTTCTACTTTACTTGATAATATAATCACTAACAATTTTTATAACAACTCTATTTTCACAGGTATAATCAAAACAGACTCATCAGATCATTTTCCTACTTTTTTAATAACTAACAATATAACAATAATATGTCTTCTAAATTTATAATATACAAGCGGCAGATCAATAAATACTCCTTACAAAAATTTCAACACCTTTTAAAATATAACGTTGATTGGGATCTTATAATGCAATCGGTAGAGGTAAATAATGCCTATGAAATATTTCTTAAATTTTTTTGTGAGCAATATGAAAAAGCTTTTACTGACAAAAAAATTGTTATAAATACAAAGTCATATCAAGCTTTATGGATACCTAAAGGTTTATTAAAATAACGTATAAAAATGAAACAAACTAAAAACTTTATAAAAATATATTTCAAAAAACCAAACAACAATCAAAAAAAAATTTACTATTCAAAGTTGTTAAAAAAACTAACGGAAATGCCAAAAAGACGTGGAGCGTAATTAAAGAAATTATTAGCAGAAAAAAATAATGGAATAAGTATTCGACCAAAGAAACTCTTAGTGTATGGTAAAATAATATACAGTATTGAACAAAACATTTGCATTTGGACAAAACATCGAACAATGCTAAAAAGTGTTCCTAATTTTACATGTCTTAAAAAAGAAACGAACTATACTACCACAGCAAACAATTTAGGAGTCTGGATTCATAGCATACCATGACATGAGCAATCAGGTGACAGCACACAGGCAGAATTTCTTTGACAAGTACCATTTTGCAGCGGACAAAACATGTGCAACTTTTTTGGTTTGTTTCATTTTCTTAAGTCTGGTTCGTATCAACGTCACAGAAGTTTTTTAATAATTATAGGAAGTATCCAGAAGTTTCCAGAAGCATGCAGAAGCATGCAGAAGCATCCAGAAGTATCCAGAAACATTCATAAGCATCCTGATGCATTCAGAAGTTTCCAGAAGCATCAAAAAGAAGCATCTAGAATTATACAGAACAAATTCACACAGGTTCATTTTACTATATAAGACATATGTAAACCGACATGTAATTCAGTCAGTATATAGAAGTCAATCAGTCAGTATTTTTCAAGATTAATACAGTCCACATCCAACCAAGGCGTTCCACAGAGCATTATTGTATTATCACAAGGTAAATGTAACACGGTAAGCATTGAGAAGCGTGATTACTTATTTTTTATTATTTTTATGATTTCAAGAGCAAAAATGGCTCCCGACAGTTTTGGATTGGAACTAAAAAAGAAAATTATTTGCGATTACGTAAGTGGAATGTCACAAAAAAGTATTTGTGATAAATATCACGTGAAAAAATGGACCGTATCAAGATTATGTTCCCAATATCGTTCTACGGAGAAGTTGGCAACAGATAACAAAGGTGGAAGACCACGTTCCACCACCTCTAGAGAAGATTCTATGATTGTCAGATCCGTCAAGAAGGATTCCTGGATATTACCAGTCGAGATCAGGGCCGGCGCGAGTAGGTGTCACGTGGGGGGGTGCCATTACAACTTTTGTCGACTAAAAAAAAAAAAAAAAAAAAAAAAAAAGGTCCTCGTTTTCCAAAATTTGCCGACTGTCTAACCTATATCGAAAGGGTCGACATTTGCCGACTAACTAGTCTAAAAAGGTCCGATTTGCCGACTAAAAATCATTGATGGGGGGGTATCACCCCCATCAATGATTTATACACCCTCCCACACCCCCTATCGCGCCGGCCTTGGTCGAGATACAAAAGCAATTAGAGCTGCCTGTATTGGACCGAACAATCAGACAACGTGCTGTTGAAGCCGGATTGTTTTCTCGACGCCCTGCAAAGAAAACCGCTGATTTCACTAAAAAACCATAAGAAAAGACTCCTGTTTGCTACATCAGATTGACTGGAATGAGCAGAAATGGCGAACTATCATGTTCAGTGATGAATCAATGTTCAACATCATTGGGAGCGATGGCATTTGCCGTGTACCTTGACCGGCCGTAAAACGCCTTAATTTACATTACTGCCATAAGACCGTAAAGCATGGTAATGGTCAATGTAAAGGCAATGTAATGGTCTAGGGGGTGTTTTTCTGCTAACGGTCTAGATCCAATACATCGAAACGATGGAATAATGGACCGTTTCATGTATGAAACGGTCCATTATTCCATCGTTTCGATGTATTGGAAACCTCATAACCTCATGCTG